TGGCCACAGCGGTTACGAAGGGGGGGAGGGGGACAGCGGTGAAGTGGAATAAATGCACCACCAAACCGGCATTGGACTGGCTACCCGGGGAAGAATCATGAAACGAGGCCGTCTGCACGCTTGGCCCCCCAGGTAGCAGCATGCCCAGTGGTTGCAATGTGTGTGTGGGTATCTTGCGACCGCACTTTTCCACACGCGAGGATGGGCGGCCAGGTTGTGTGTTCGATTTTTTTCTCCTGCTGATCAGGGGCTGGGCTGAGCTGAGCTGTGGAGAGAGAGAGAGACCGCCCCAGCCTTAAGAGCGTCCAAGGCAAGGGAGGCAGCGCCAGATCGTCTTGGCGGATGGAGTGCGTAGTAACGTTGTAACGGCCGATACAACCCTGTTTGGAACGACCGACCTACATAGATTGACGAGCGCAATGCCTGGGGGGCATCAATCCTCACGAGCTGACCATCCGCCCGATCTTAGTCCTAGTAGGTAGACAAGGTAAAGAGATCTAGATATCGTCACTGCGAAACAAACATAGGTAGATAGATGGTCTGCATGAACCACCGCACGTCCTTTTCTTTTCTTTTTCTCAATTCCGAGGACCCGACGTCAGAGAATGAAACGTCTCAGACAAGCTTGGTAGATCCTTTGGCTTTCCATCTTTGTTGTTGTCAAACCAGATCAGATGTCCACGGCAAACAAAGGCAGCCTAGTAGCATAGTTTAAGAGACCATGGTGAAATCGTCAATGTCACAAAGAAACACAATGGGCAGGTGGAGGAATATTTTTTATCTTTATTGTTACAGAAATGAATCAACATCTCGATGAGTTAATTCGCATCAAAGTTGCTCAATGTTCACGACCGTGCCCTCTCCAATAACCAGTCTGTTCTGCCCTTTGTTATCCATGAGAGCAGTCAAAGTCGCGGTAGAGTTGCACCGGTCGCATGCTCAAGTCCCATTCTTCGAAAATCTCGCTCATGCCTCTTCTCTCCATTATAGTCCCAGGAGGAAACTGAGCAATTGAGTATAATTATGTCAAGGCGCCAACAACGCCCAAATGCCAGGTTTTACTGTATATGAAACGCGCACGAAGAGCTCATGCCCCGTCGCATAGCCCTTTAATGGTAAAAAAAAGAAAATATCGTGCCATCGTAGTGTATGTAGCTTCCCACCCGTTTTCTAGGACATTCTCGGATCTTATATATGGATTTCTTTCATCGTCTCGTCCTTGGACTGGGGTTGCTTGCCATTCCCGACCGGGGATTCGTTCTCCTTGGTTAATTTGATGAGATCGCTCTCAACTCTTTTCAGAACAACAGGCTGCTTAGACTCCCTCTTGGATAGCGTTGCCTCTGCCTCAACCAGGGTCTCGGGCTGGATTTCGGCATCTGCCAACTCCGGAATGCTCGTCTCCTCCGTCACTCTACCGAGGATAGGTAGTTTCCCATGGCCTGCGCGCATTGGACTCTGCAAAGGTGAGGCCCCGTGAGGTCGCTGCAAAGAGCGACCTCGATTATCTCCATTACCTTCTGCGGAGTAGGGGGAAGATGATCGGGATCCAAGAGGCGACCCGGGCTTCGATCCAGGCTTCGACCCGGGTCTTGGTTGCATGGACTTTCGCTGTGCTGCTCGGCGCCCGTACTTCTGGTCCATTCTCCATCGCAAAATGCTGAAGTACGACGGCTCGACTCGTGCATCTTTGAACTCACGAAGCTTGAGCTCCCCGTTGTCTTCGTCCACAAACCATTTCCCGCTGTTCAGGTCATCTGCCACAAGGGCGAGGAATGCAGACCACGATTTGGCCACGACGTACTTGGTGTCATAATCACGACCGAAAAGTATGATCTGGCCCCATCGGCCTTTAGGTCCAGGGGCCAAATCGACAGCCAAGTTGTTACCACCCCAGTCTCGCACCAAGGGGATCCATCCAGCATGTGCATACGCGCTTTGAACACTGTTCGGGGGAACACAAGTCTGCTTGTCGAGAAGATTCTGGCGCCATTCGTCAGGGTTACTAGACCGCGAGGATGGTCGCTGCCGGGACGAAGATGACTCGTTGCTGCCTCCGGCGAAAGCCTTTGGAGTAGGAGGTGTCGGTGTGTCCATTAAGATTTGGTTGCTGACCCTGGACCAGGTCCCCCATTCCTGCACAATTTCTTCACAGTCCATGAGCATCGAGCCGAAGATGATTCCCGTTGGAGTACCGCCACGTTCTTGACCGTCGTGAATCATAAGCGACTCCCTCACATCCTGGGGAAGGGTGCAGTCCAACTGATGTTCCAGCTCATTCATATCATTGACAGTTGCGCCTTCGCAGACCTGGTCGAAAAGCTCCGGATAGTTGTCCTCTGCCCAAGCATCTATACGCTTCCAGGAATGGGAAACCGGGGGTGGAGGGGGGAGGCCGTCTTCGAATGACTGCATGGGCACATCGCCAGGACTCTGAACCTCGAATCCATCAGTCTGGCTAGTATTTCTAGCAGAAACAGATCGCAAGCCAGGCGAGTATGAGCCGGGGTTAGGACTTGAGGCGGGATTGTAGGGAACAATGTTCGGGGGGCGCATTTGCTTGCGGGTAGGCGAGGCATCATCGAAATAAGGAGAGTTGATGTCACCGCGGGAATCGGAGGCGGTAGCTACGCCAGTAAACACGCTGTTTCGGCCATTGTTGAGAGGGACGTGACGACCGGACCGATGTGGAGAATCCAGTGTTGAGTCTGTAGAAACCTAGTGCGTTAGTTGAGGGTTGCCAGCGTCGGAGAAGGGGGGGATCGCACGTCGGTCATAACTGGTCATAGTATGCCAGAATTCGCGCAGGGCTAAGCCAAACCTGTGAAGCAAGATTGTCAATAATTGAGGCCAGATAGGAGCTGCGAGAGGTATGGGAGCACTCACCCGTTCGACATGATGACTGTGAATCGCTAGGCCACAGGACCTGGACCGGAACGAAAGGAGAATGTATTATGTCGAAGAAGGTGAGCCCAAATGTCGCGGGAGCCTCGGGGCCTCGAAGAAGCAATCAACGAGTGTTCTAGGAGGAATCCCAAACAAAGGAAAAGAGACCGAATGCTACCGACGATGGCAACAGCGCAAACTCGATTATCCGAGTGAGAGGAAGGAACAAAACGAGGCTGCCAGAGATGGTCGTAATTGTCTTAGGAAAGTCCACCAAGCATGTAATGACAGGCGCGACGATGGAAGCGTTTAAAGGAGTGGTGGTCAACTGTCTCGCTCCAGCTGGGCTGGAATTTTTGCCCCGGTCCGATGTCGACTACTAGGTTGAAAGATTAAGGGGCTGGGTCTTGAAAGTGCCCTTGCGACAGAGGCAAGGGATTAGAGTAAATCAAAAACGAAGGCCAGGTGAAGAAGTAAAAGAAGAGGGGAAGTGGAAACGAAGGAGAAAAGCTGCCCCAATGGAGAGAGTGAAGGTTGAGAGAGTGTGGGTTGCAACGCGACGGGGTGAGTTCGATGATGAAGCGTTGGTAAGGTGCAGCAAGGAAAAGAGGCGTCTGCGGGTTGCAAGACACTCGTGTTTTGGCACGAACGACGTGGTGGCTGATAAGGTCTGAGATTGGGGGAGGCCACCGGTGGCGCCAGGCTAAAGCGAATAGGTAGAGAGCGCACTGCTGCAGCGCGCTAGGGAGTGGCCCCATTCAGCCATTCAGGGGTGTAGGTGGCGACGGAGCGGCGTCTGCCAGCGCCCATGATAGCTGCTAGCCTGCGATTAGGTGGTGACGTTGGTATAATCATCCCTCCGCCAATCCTCCAGCAGGTGCTTGACAAGCACAGGCAGTCATGTGCACATCAATTTCCCGAGAGGGTAGCTGCCACCTCCATCGGGACACCTTCGAGCGATAGGCCCCTAATCACCTGCCCCAATTCCTGCTGCGAGCCTGCCACCGGTTGATATACAGTCCCCCCATCCATCGTACCTGAATTACGTGGCACAGAGGACCGCGCTTCCCACGGCTGCCGGGCCTCTGAGTCAAGAAGCGCATCTGTCCCTGGCACTAATCATGGCAGTTAGTAATAAACGGGGCGGCTCCTTTTCCATAGCTTCCATGGCGTGTCAGATGGCTGCTGGGTAATATTAAGCCCAGTTCTGAAACTCATCCCTCAAATTAAGCTCCTGCCTGTGGGTACCAGCAATAATTATCTGGCACTTGCCACACGATGTAGCCAGTATTTACGGCCATCGATGAAGAATCTAGAAGCGTAGATTTCATTATCCTTGCTTGCGTCATCCGGCCACAAATAGCAGCATCCAATTGGAACCGACTTCACTGAAGCCAAGTCCAACTACACAGCACAGCATTGATTAGACATCCTTGCTCGGTAATAAACAACCACATCGGAATCACAAAGGGTTAATAATCAAGGCATAGGTACGTACATGTCGAACAAACAGCCAGCATCTTCAACTGTCGGTTGCGGCAAACTCCGTAATATATCATTTTAAATAGAGTTTGAACGCATCTTCAGCAATTTCTTCAACTACATAATATGCCGCACGGGCAGGCCAGCTCTAAGCAGATATCCCAGCCCAGCATAACGTCTTCATGTATGCAAGTACTTAATAACCTGGGATCTACGATGCACCACAACCCTCCAGGATCGCCGAGTGCAGCTGCATCCATGTGTCTCCTTAGAGTAGGTACGCTTATACAATTATACAGTCATACAATTACACAATAGCCTGGCAGTAATGTCACATAGAGCATTACTTGCATAGGAACTCTCAATGGCCGTAATTTTAGTATAACACTCTAAGAGTATCCTTTGCTTTCCCTCAGTTTGATGAAGCCCCCAATCAAGTGCGACCCCTGAAGACTCTACGTCACCGTCGTATTAGCATCTTCGCCAGGATTAATCTTGTGGACTGTGGTAGTGATCAACCTTTGCATTCCTGTATTTGTCTCTATATTCTGCACAATGCGTTCATCATTTAAGTCATTCACACCACACCGATAAACCTGGAACGGTGACCTTAGGTAAGGTTTCTCTGCCTCACACTAGAAGAAATAGAGAACCAGGTGAGAGAAGAGAAGTTTAGGTTTGCGTTATTGGATAGTGCTGTAATATATAGGTAGCCAGCTAAGAATAGCTCTGCCAAATCCTAATTATAGCACCCATCTATCGTTGGTGGCGTTAAACACAAAGCTTTGTTATAGAAATGCCCTGGGCTAGGTAAATCTTCAACAAGCGGGATTCAATCACAAGAACTCCGTCGCTCTTGAAATCAATGCACCGTCATGGAGATCGTCGGAAGTCTCTGAGCTACTCCATCAGAAGGTGCCAAGTCGTGAAACATTACCAACCCGAGACATGCACGATATCTAAGTCACTCTGCTCCGAAAATCTCCCAAAAAGTCCAATTTCTACAGTTCCAATTGGCTTGTGGCCATGCGCATCGCAACAAAACCTGCCCTGTTTCGCCCGCATCGCACCTGTCTCATGTTTGCTGGTGCTCCTTGCTTCACTGTGAGACATCTCATCTACGAAAAGCCAAGGAAGGAGGGAAAATAAAGCCTCTCGAATTGTTCCATCAAAGTTACACGTGAGTATACAGTTGTACATGACGAATAATGACGGCGGCCTATGTGTCAGTCAACCCAAAACTCCTTTGCGCCAGCCACCATCCCTGAATCAGACCAGCGTCATACATCATCATCTCCCAATCATTTGCTTGAACCCAACACTTCAAACCACCAAGCTTAAACCGCTCCACTGCTTAGCCATTCAGCTCCTGGAGCTTCTCATCCAGCTTCCTCTTTGCCATTGACGCCATGCCTCGCTCCGGGTGCGCTAGTTGCTCACTAAAGCAGAGTTCGATCAGCGCACGAAGCTCTTCGAATGAGAAGATGCTTGCACTGTAGGGATCTGCCCGGATGCCGGCGGATTTGGCTTCCTTGGCTCTCTCCGCAACCTCGTCCGCGCCTCTGTCGAAGAGTGTGTAATAGTTGGAGGATCTGGCCAGGTCTACCGCGTCCTCGATGTTCTTCAAGTTCTGTTGTAGAACGAGGATGTTGAGCTGCATGCGCGCGGATCCCTTTGCATTCATCGGTGACACCATCTTGGCATTTCCGACGAGGTAAGAGTTGATGAGCAGGCCGAGGCCGGTCCTGATGAACTTGATTTCGCTGTCCCGGAGATACCTCTCGATAATCTCGTCGAAGACGACCAATTCTGAGTTGAGGCTCAGGATTTGGGGGTCCGGCGCAGTCACGTCTTGGTCCAGTAGATATGGTGCAACATCGGGTGACATGGCAATTCGTAAGGAGTGCACGATTCTGCAGCGAACTTCCATATGGAGAGTCAATAGGGCCGTGCCAGCAAGCTCTTCGAATGAAGAAACAATGCTGTCGAATGCTCTGTTCAAATGAGTTAGCTCGCTTCCAAAATAGTGACAGATCACAGAGATACTCACTGGGCTGTGTCTTGGGTCAATGGCAGCTGTACAGGTCCCTGGGAGGACGTTGCTCTGTTGGGGTCATTCATCAACGTCCACCGTCGGCCTGACTGTCGAGAGATATTCTGCCGGGATGAGTCGGTCTCGTGGGTTGTGATGTGCCTCAGCCCGGAGATCTTTCCAGCAAGCCATTTCATACTCGTGTACAACAGACACAGGGCTGAAAGTGTATCATGATCCTGGATGATATCGCTCATAAGCAGTCGGGTCTTGTTGGTCTGCTCAATTAAGAGAGAAATTTCCTTCTGGGCAAGATCTTTGTCGTCCTCCTCTGCCTCCCAAATCTGCTGCATTGTCTCACGAATGTCTCCCGGGTCGATAGCCAGACGGGCAGACGCTCGGAGCTTCGCGTCGTCAGAGGCCTCGTCTTGTGTCTGGGTTACCAATGACTTGAACCAGCTGAAGCAACGGTCATAATATCGCATCATCTGGGTTACGATCAGAGAACTCAGTGCCTGGTCAGGAGGGATGGTGCCAAGCATCCGGCAGAAGGCTGTCACGACTTCAAAAAAGGCGGTGGTGCCTTTGAAAACAGGGCGTCTCGCAACTTGACTCCAAGCAGGATCTTGCGAGAAAGAGTCCAATTCACCAAACACTGTATCGCTAAGTTTCCCAAGTGTCTCGTCCAGTTGTGGTTGGAACACATTGACCAAGAAGTTGTCCAGGAAGGTGGTGAGTGTACTGGTGGCAAGGTCTGAACCAGGTGGCACAACACCCTTCAGCCTCTGAAGGAAGACAAGTGTCGGGGGGAGTAGAAGGCTCATGTTGAAAACACTTGGCTCAACCAATGACCTGTATGATCCAGGTTGCTGTTGAGAATTGTTGCCATACCCGGTTCCCCTTCGAGGGTTGGTGCCTTCATCCAGCAACTGGCGGCTTTTCTTGTTCGCATCTTGGTTCTTTCGCGTGCCACTGGTAAGACCCGGTACGGTAGCTTGGATAATACTCTCAAGTGCCTCATACTCTACCGTCATGCCATCCGACTTGGGGTCAACTTCAGAGAACTTGAAGAGATTCTCTCGTGAGCCATCTTTCCGGCCAGTATTAGAAGCTCCATGACTGGGAGAATCAAATTGATATACATCAGCATCAGTCGTGACATAATTGTGGAGAAGTGACCGGATCTCATTTTGGTAGAGATTCCACAGTTCCTTGAAACTGCCCAAAAGGACACTGTTGTTTCCAGCGCCCTCGCGGCGTATAAGTGCCTTGATCGATTCATGAAACACACGCTGACCCTCAGAAATGGCTTCGAATTTCCCGTACAATGTCCACAGTAGATCGTATATCACATCCGCCCGCAGTCTGGTCTCGCGAGCCCCGTAAACATGGAGACCGTCCTGCTTGGAAGAACTTCCACGTAAGGAGCTTGGGTGGCGCTGGTCAACTTCATTAATAGTCTCGCTTACAATACCAAACAGCTCGACTGGCATCCTGTGTTTCAAGGTCTCAACAGCGTTCTGCAGCCTGCCGAGCTTGTTCAATGCTTCAACAATCAAAGTCACGTAGTAGAAAGTGTCTGCCTCGGGGTTCTTCATTGGGTCCTCGGTAGCAGATTTGTCGATCTCGAGGCTATCAAGGGCCACGTGGAAGGGTACAATAGTCGTGCCATCTGAATAGCCATCTTGGTGGGTTTTGGCCAGGTTTTGCCAGCGGTCCTGGCAGTATGGGGACTTTAGGTAGAGATGTTCATGCAGTTCCTCAACAAGCGTATCCATCAAGGAGGTTTCTTGGTTGGATAGGTAGTTTCTCAGGTCGCTTAAAGCGCCTATACCATCCAGCTCGGGCTTCCTGAGTTTCCTCAATGCATTATGCAGCACCTCGACGGCTGTGAGGAATCGCTTCTCTGAGATCCGTGCTTCCAGTTGATCGGGGACGGAGCGCAACTCATCCAGCTCGTTCAAAGTCTGGATTAACTCGTCATAGGTTTGGGATGTCTTGGATAGTTTCAATAACTCGGGGTCGGTGGTAGAGAGTGTGACTTTCGAGGTGACCAGAGACTCTTTGAGCGCTCGAACACGCTTCTGTGAAACTTGTATGCTGGTTTGAATTTTGTGGAATGTGCCGATGGAGCTGTTAAAGCCCTGGTGATGCTCGTGTACGATCCCCTTCAATGAGTCTTGAAGATAGCTGTGCGTCTGCCGGAACTTGTCATACTCGTGGGCCTTCCCAACAGAGCTGGTATCGAGAAGCTGTAGGGCAAGCTGCACGGGAGCAACATCGCCCTCATACATCGACGGCCATTCCGTGTGGATATGCTCTAGGACTTGGGCAATTTGGCGCTCGGCATTTGTTTCGGATCGCATGCGGGATCTCGAGGGTACGTTGTGTATAGTGTTCGAAGCGGGCGGGGATCTTAGGGGGGACTGAGCAGGCACCATAGGTCTCTGGCCCCCGTAGCCTTGCGAGTAATCGCCGTCATATTCCTGGCCTGGGATTGAGAGGCCCCCATAGCCGTTGTTGTTTGGCGGCGGCATGCCACCATATCGAGCCATGTTGGAGTTGGAGCTTGGTCGGTGCCTCAAATGGTCGAGGATGGTACTAACATCGTCGCCAAGTAGCTGAATGGCGAAGTTCCTGGTCGCAAAACTAGGAAGCTCTCGGGTTGTCGTATTTAGAACCAAGCTTCCCCTTACAGCCGCGACGAAGGCAACGAATGATCTTGGTAGTTGGTGGTCGAACCCATTCGGCTCCTTCAGCGATGCGATGTGGCTTACCTAGAGTACGTACTTCTCAGAGGCGCACAGACCATCATGATCCCCGGCCATCTTCAAGCACTTAAATTTTAGCAGTGCAGATAGCTCCCGTTTCATCGCAGCTACCCTATAGTGAACCCCAGCACGTCTTCATGCCCACTCAAGTTTTACTTGAAATGCCTCCTCTGAGGACGATATCCACTTCTCGGGACGTTTTTCTTTATATTTCGACTTCTCCGGGTATGTTGTGAATATCATTAAATTCATTATATTTACTAGGCTGTAATTCCAATGCTATAACTGTTGACTAATAACATCCAGGCCATCCCTGCTGCCGTCTGATAAGATCGACATCCCACTTACCAACAGAACCTTTTTTTAAACCTCGAAATACCCAGGGGTAATTATACCACGGGAACGGATTTCCCCTTGTCCTCTCACTGGGGAGGTGTAGGGGATTTGTTGGCCGTACTAGAGATATCCGCCCCTGAGCTGGCTTGAGCCGTTGTTCCAGACACGCCCAACTCTCCTCCACCAACACTTGGGCGAAGCAGCTGGCCCCCAGTTTGACCAGATCTCAGCATCCTCTTATCCTGTGCCAGAATAACCTTTATCATGCTCCTCGTCCCATCCAATATCACTTCAGGACAGTCCCAAGCTACCAACTCTGGCTTGGCGAAAACCCTGAAGGTCGAGACCACTTCGTATCTGGCGCTTGCCCATCCAGGACATGCATAAGATCTCTCGGCCGGTTTCAAATGCCCTTGATCTACCACGGGAGCGGCCGCCGCCTGATTCATACCAACGAACACGGTGATGCCAACTCTTGGTTTCCGCGCCGAAGGCTTCTTGGGTTTCTCCTCATCCGCACCCGAGGATATGCAGTTTGCCCAGTATCTGAGAGTACCCTCTGGGCCAGGGAGCCAAATCAACTCTGCCAGAGTGATTACTGTTCTCTGAGAGAGCTCCTTCGTGGATCCCAGAAGCTTGAGCATCATCAGTACAAATATGAGCAACCCCACTGGCGAGTCGCAAAGAGCGTACGACAAGACGTTGGGGTCGCGGAACTTGTCGATGTCAAAATCCATGGACTGGAGATTCGGGGACTTCCGTCCCGTCGATTTGGCCTTTTGGAACGCAGAGATGTCCTCGCTCGTGTACCCCAACCTTGGTCGCCCCGTGATGCTCGACAGCTTCCATCTGATCCAGTTGATGAGCGCGTCCTGAGCTCGGGGAGGTTCCAGAGGCGGTGAGATGAGGTGGACCCCCAAACAGCTGTCCGTGAAATTGTGGGCGAGATTGTTGGCAAGCTTCCAGTCGATCTCGGAGGGCGAGTTCGACGTGACGCTCGTGTTGCTTGCGACGTACTGCTTGTATCCAAGACGGCGCATTACCGTATCAAAAGCCTCCGCGGTTGCTGAGATTACCGGGGTGTTGCTGGGCAGAGCGTCGCTGAACCCAAGGCCCGGGAAAGAAGGGATCACGAGATGGAACGGCTGCTGCGTGCTGGCATCTTCTGGCTCTGTGAAGGATGGGATGAGATGGATTAGGTTGAGGTTGGCGAACGGGAACGGGGGGATCAGGAGGAGGGGCACAGCGTTCGAGTGCGGTGAGCGAACGTGAATGAAGTGAATCCTGACAGAGCTGCCGGATCCCGGCACCAGGACTTGGGTCCGGAACTGAGGCACGGCGGCGTTCAGGCGGTCCTCCTCATCGCGCCATGAGTATTCTTCCAGCCTGTTCGGAGGTGTCAGTACGAGAGATCTCGCGCCCAATCTGCCTGCCGAGCTGCGAACTTGCACTGGACTCACCAGAAGTCAACGAGGGCCTCGATCTCTGGTTTTGGTTCCCACCAAACATTGGGCTTGGGCTCGGAGGACTCACGCGGCAGTCGCGTGAGCTCCAGCTTCTCCTCGGTCAATTTTAGATATTTACTTGACACCTAGGTACATGGCAGGGCGGTCAGCATTGGGCTTTAGTTTACGAGTGAAGGGAGTGAAAGGGACGGCTGTGTGGGTGCGTGTGTGTACGAACATGAAGCTGGTAAGGAACGACATCTTCGCCAAAGGGTGTAGTTGAGGCTGGATCAGGCGTGGCCATAGTTTGAACACTTCAGCTGGACGAAAGCGATGATGTCTAGTCAGCGGAGGAAACAGTCGCTTTGCGGCAAGCCAAAAAAAAAAAAAAAGGCCAGGGCGAAGGCTCACGAGCAGCTAAAGTCTTGAGGCCGGCTCCCGCTGCCCTTTGTTTTGGAAGCTGGAGGGCACCAGGTCCAGGGTCCCCTTTAATAAGGCTCTAGGTAGATTCGATACGACGTCTTGTCCCGATTTGTCATGCAGCAGCTCGGTGCTACTCCTACCTACATGGAAGCCGGCCTTGTTGGCATTTGCGTTGACCGAAATCAATTCGATTCAGCCCAGCGCGCGCGTCTCCGCAACTTCGTCATTCTTTTCCTGCAAGTGTGATCGCTATTACCCACACGGCACACAGCTTTGCGCGCTAAGAGCTTGCTGTGGCGTCCATCCCTGCTCGTCCTTGTTTGGTGTTGGAGTCAGTCTGGAGAGAGCCCAACAGGATGGTTTATCTCGACGACCGCCCGGGCCAATCGCCAGCCAGCCAGGCCTGTTGTGGAGGGGGAATCCATGGCCGGCTTGCTGGTCACGCAACCAGCACCCATTGACTCGTGCGTATTTTTTCCTGTTTGCGCAGCGAGGCCACATGCATGCCACCAATACTATTCCTGCTTCCAGCATGGAGCATGCGGACGAGGCGCGCCAAGCATGAGACAAGCGCAATGTTTCGGAAATGATTAGCAAGGATCTCGCGCCTCTTGCTGGCCACAACACAATGCCGTCTGTTTTGTCTGGTCGTGGCCAAGCTGGGGCCTCTGCTCGTTGGGCAACAATCAATTCACAGCCAGGAAAGCGCCTCTGGAGAGTAGGGCGACTGCATGGATGGGCACACGTGTGCCGCACCATTGGGGACGGACATATTTGCCCTCCACCTACCTGATCCGGATCAATGTTTGTCTTTCCTCTCTCTCATCTCAGAGACGGAAGATGCACAGATGCCAAAAAGAAACATTCGAGCTTTGGCATCATTGTAACCAGTAAAAGCAGCCAATCACCCCATTGAGAAACTGCTACCCCAGAATTGGGATCATCCCAACCCCAGGCTGCGGCTTTAATTCTTCTAGGCCGGGCTTGTGACTCTGTGATCCGGCTCAGTACATATGCCGATATTGAATGTGGTGTGATGCGTGGTAATTGTCTCACGTGCAAAGCTCCCTGCACACCTGGCACGTACTACAACAGATCAAAAGCGGTAGGGTCACACAATCACTGGGCATGGATGTCAGCACGATCGTGTTGAGATGGATTGTTAAGATTGATTTCTTCATATTCCCTCCGTTGGGATACAACTTTGCGCCACCTTGCATTATAGGACCGTATTGTCTCTGTTCCTGTTCCCTAAGATTCCCTATATGACGTATTTCATTGCGTGTTATTATTGGTAGTTGCTGGGCTGGTTGCTCCCGCATTTGGTTGGCCTCCGCGCAGATTAATCTGCCCCATACGTGAAACAATGTTGTTACCGACCGCATCAATTGCGCCTCTCGGGGAGGTAAATGTTGGTCCTGTGGGCGTCGTTTCTTGGACGCGGAAGAGTTTGATCGCAGTGCCGGTCCATATGCCCATATTCCCCCTCGAAATTTGCATCTCACTCGAAAATACCACTCCCCAAAGAAGAGATTCATACCATCCCAGAGCGAGGGGAGACCATTCGAAAGAGTGCACTCGAATTGGTGATGGGTCTACTCCCACTATTTCGGTCTCTTTGATTAGGCGGAATGTCTCCTGAGAAACCACTTCTTGCGATAGGGCCTGGCGGGGCAGGACTGGCGATAGTTGTTGGATGATCGTCAGAATGGTGTGAAGTGGAAGTTCCGGTAACCAGGTCTCAATCCACTGTGCAGACGGCTCGAAGGCACCGGTTTGAGACTGCCCACTGATGGAATATGTTCCTAAACTCGTAGAGCTGTTTTGACGTGAAATCTTGATGCCGGCTGGCATCTTTCCACGCGCCTTTTCTGACATCCCTCTGACCTGAGTCGGTACCGCGTCCTCGGTGGCGGCTACCGACGAGGCTTGAGAAGCATTCTCACTTGTCGTCGACTGCACAGGGGTTGGTTGATAGTCTTCATCATCGCTGTTCTCCTCCTCCTCGTCATCATCATCGTCATCGTCGTCATCATCATCATCTTCGTCATCATCGCCGATAGCGAACGCTCCATCTTCTGGCACATTTTCCAGTGTTGGCGTTCGTGCTGGAGCGATAGATGGGCTCCGGATACTGTCAGTGGAACTTCTCAACGAGGTAGATTCAAATGGATCCGTTTGGCCACCTGATTCTTTCTTCAGCCGTTGACGACGTTCCATTTCTTCTTTCCCAGTCTCTAGTGTGAATGACCGCAGTGCTTCGATGCGCTTCTTGTTTTTCAAAAGGGCAATTATGAGCGCCGGATTTGCTTGATACTTGTTCTCAATGATAGCATTAATGGATTCAAGAAGTGAGTGCAACAGCGTATGGTTGGTTTCGTTGACGAGAAGAAAGCTCGGCGATGACATGGATGTAAATAACTGTAGAAGACGTGAGCTACTGGAGGCACTCAACATCTCGATATGTGGCGCGATGTTATTGATGATGGCTAGGAGTGCCGGATAGATCGCTGATAGTTTCCCCTGGCTAGTGGTAATAAGCGAGAAGATGGATTGAATAAGGAAGTCGGCATAGGTGCCTCGGAATCCATTGATTCGGATTGACGCTGGTAGACTGGCCTGGCCCTCAAAAGCCTTATTCAGATTTGCACCGAATGCAGTCTCAACACTGAGTGTCTGGAGCAGAAAGACGCACATCCGGACAACGCCATGCTTTGCTGTGTCATTTTTGTATTCCAAAGCATAGAACAATGCCAGAATAATAAGATCGTGAGCACAACCTGTATCGATGATGAAGGAGCGAAACCTCTTGTTGCACTGCGTAATCTCCCAGAAAAGCATGATGATCTCAGGCGCAAAGTCACCAGAATTCTGTGCTCCTGGTAGATAGGATGATTTCTCTTGTAGTGGCTGGTTGAGGATCCTCGTCATTCCATCCACGATAAATTGGAAATCCTGTGGCCGATGTACGCGGCCAAGATAGTGCCGGTAGTAGTTCTTAGAGGGGGCTGAAGACCCATTTTCGGGGATGGGGTAAAGTAGTAGAGCAAGGAGCAAGTGTAGCGAATGTGTCACGAGCATTTGTTTCGTGTCTTTGAACACGAGAGAATTGTAAGGTACTCGCCATGTTGCTGGATTGTACTTGAGCGTTGTGTTCAGGAGGGAACAGAGGCCTGACAAGACGATCTGCTTATCAGAACAGGAGCACATGTAGGTCAGGGCCCGGACGCCTCTCCCAGGTAGGACGGTTGAGGTCATATACATGCTCTGACCGGCTAAAGTCAGAAGGAGTCTCAAGATTTCACATCGGTTACTCTCGTATTCTTTGGTTGTTGCGACAGTCGAGTTGCATCCTACACCACTTTGCCAGATTGCATATGTAACTTTGGATTTTCCGCCTTGTGCCAAAGGTAAAGTAAGTCCGGAGAAGAATAGAAGATCGATCAGGATATCGATGAGCTCCTCAGCCAAAGGATTCGCATCCTCAAATGTTTCAGTCTTGGTGGCGCTTGGCTCCGTTTTATCCTGTTGGGCCTCGTCGAATAGGACCTCGTTCGCTATGACAGCTTTGCGGGTCTTCATTCTTCGTCTACCCCAGAAAAACTTTTCCTCCCAGCTGGCGAGGGATTCCTTTTCGTACAAATATGGGAGGATACGAGTGAGAACGCGAATGCAGTTCAGAGCATCCTTTTCCGGAGCAAGCTCTGGGTCGGGGAAGGAGGGGTGATGCCTGAGATATACTAGTCTGGATATTGATGCTAATATTAATGTCTCTAGATTTTCGAGTGCCTTGTCGCGAGTTCGTCGGATATCGGCGGGGGAGAAAAGGCTGAAGACATCCTCGGAGGATTCAGGCAACTGCCAGAACTGTTCAAACGAGTCAGCCGATTAGTTTCTAGCCAAGAAGATATCGCCGGCTACGAACCGAAGTCCAGTATTCATCATCAGCTGGGATATGGCGCTCCTCAGAAAGCCTGAAGATGCCCTGCTTGAAGACAAGTTTCGAATCGCTTGCACCCATGGTTCCGATGTCGATGCTGAGTACGAGACAGCTGTGTGACGGGATTCTGGTACCGGATAATGGCGATTAAAGCACAGAAAGAGAGTTAGACATGACGTTCCTCAACGGAACGAAGCTCTTGGAAGTCCAGTGTCTGGACGAGATGGAGGAGATGTCGTTTGGTGGCTATCGCAGGTCGGAGTGCTAGGGTGTTCCATACGAAGCGGGTATTACTGTACACGCTCAGCATCTCCTCTTGTCGCTGCTTAATAGGTGGGGAACCTAAGGCAGGCTAGTTAGCTCTCCTGCGTAAGTCCCCGGGGCCGAGCTGTCGCTACTTCCATCTGCTAACAGTCCTGGGGCATTTGGAAGGTGACACTAGGCTCTCGCTCTAGACCACAAGCCCCACTCCATCCTTATCGATAAGTGGCAAAAGTCATTGGCGCAAGGTCCCAAGACTTTTTTTGAGGGTAACACCATGCATGGTATGTGACATTGGCGGGGAGATCATTGTCTTTGTATGAGCTCGTCGCAAGCTTGGTGATAGCTCACAGACTGCGACCATGATTCGCTCAAGGAGAGGGGTTAATTTGGCTGTTCAAAAGGCTGGGTTGACCCGAACTCTTCGCTCCCCGACATGCACTCGCCAGGGTTTGTGCACGACGACCCATTTACGATATGCACCGCGACGTAGTTCGGAGAAAGAAAAACCTGGCGACGATTCCTCTAGCTACGAGGGCTCTCGCAAGGAGTTGGATACTGCACGTATTCAGGGATTCATGGAGGCCTTCCGAAGATCTAAGGGTATTCACAAGGGCGAGGATAACAAGGCGGCACCGTCAAGGGGGCCACTCGGTGCGCTGAGCGGCTGGACTACACTCGAGGAGCGGCTGGGAACGAGATCTGACAGACGCTACTCCGGAGAGCGAGAGGACATAGACGATCTCAGTGACGACTTGGTCGACAGGCAATCGAGCCAAGCCCCGGCATCCAACGAACTCGATCCAGCACATGACGACCTCGATCCAGTATATAACCGCACATACGGTATCGATTCAGCATCGACGTATGGCTACCTGGACGAGACCCTCGCCGAGAACCTCCCCGAAACACCAGAGGCCTCAGCGCCTCCTACACATGCACCTAAGAAAGACAAGCAGAACCGGCCAAAGCAGAAGGCAAAGAGGCGTTCCAAGAAGGATTCGGAGCTTGGCGTCAAACGCCTAAGACCAAAAGCGCTTCAGCTCACACCGATCAAAGAAGAAGAAGAAGACATTGAGGTACCACACCTGTCGTATGGTCTCGATAAAGTTCTCTTCAATAGCGGTGTCTATCAGATACAAGATCAGCGGTCGAAAGTGTATAATTTCGACCCCTACCTCACCTCAATTATGCCGATCGACCAGTTTGATTTTGACGCTCTTAAAGCCTACATCACTTCATCCAAAGATTCGAAGCTGCGGGCCATCAGCGCCAAGCACGGAAAGAAGTATTGTGGTTCTACCTCTAGCATGACAGCTCTATTGTCCCACTTCCATTTTCTTATCTCCCAATGGCGTGAGCCAAACTTTGGTCATTTATCCAAGGAACTCAAGATCGAGTCGCGCAATTTTACAGCCCTAAGTCGTGCGCCGGCTGCAGCGTATGCCAGACTCAAGGACGGCGTTTATGCGATTGATGCCGATAAGGAATATGACAGGGAAAATGTTCTCAGTATGTTGGGTAAGTCGATGGAAAAGCTTCTCACACTTCCCAAAGAAGATTACGAAAAATATCGAGTCAGTCGTTCGCATCTCCTTACAGAGGAGGAACGGAATGCTGACGAAGCTTACCATTACACCACGTTGGGCGATTTCATGATGCGTTCCCAGCTCGACGCTTATGATCCTCGCTTGCCTGGCACTGGCGTTTTTGACCTCAAGACTAGGGCTGTTCTTACGATTCGAATGGATGTCCATGATTATGAGAAGCGAAGGGGCTATGAACTCACCCAGCGATTTGGCCAATTTGCCTCATTCGAGAGAGAATACCATGATATGATCCGAGCAGCGTTTCTAAAGTACTCTCTTCAGGTTCGAATGGGTAGAATGGATGGTATTTTTGTTGCATTCCATAACACCCAGCGTATCTTTGGGTTCCAGTATATTCCTCTGGAGGAAATGGATAATTCTCTCCATGGTACTGAACGCCGGGAGCTTGGAGACCAGGAATTCAAGGTCAGCTTGAAGATTCTAAACGACCTGCTTGACCGTGCCACCAAGAAGTTTCCTGGCCGCAGCTTGCGTCTTGTCGCTGAAGCTCGTCAGGCCAAGGTTCCCTTCCTGTACTTCTTTGCTGAGCCAGTCTCGGATGAGGAAATGAAGGAGTCCGATGAGGCTTCGACGGAGTCGACGATGAAACTTGCGGAAGAAATCATTGACCAAAGTCAAAGAGATCGTGAAGTATTGGAGTTGACTGAGAAGGAGCAGGAGCAGGAGCAGGATCGAGAGCAAGAGCAAGAACAGGAAGCGGAATCGACGGTTGAAGATTCCGAGAAACCTATTGATGAAGGGGTTGTAAAAGTGGATGATGCTTGGCGGGCTCTGATGGGGAAGGTGGAAGAAACCATCGAGAACGAGTCACTTGGAAAGGATTTTCTCAAAGAATCACTGCACGATGCCCTCGAGGAAGTCGATTTTCTCAGTGACAGCACTGCAAAGGAGTATGAGCAGGATCTGGATGCACTGGTGGAGTCTTTGGCCGATGCATTCATCGTGCCGAGAGAAACCCGGGAGGCATTGGAAACGAACGTGGTTGATGAAGACTCAAATTCGAACAACGGATCGCCGAGTGTTGAGACAGACCCCAAGCGTGATAGCCCTCCTTCGGAGCCAATCGTTGAGGTAGCGTCTGAGGATGATGCACCCACCACACCCGTTCCAAAAGGGGAGGTATCTGCACAAGCTGAAGCGGGATCGTCGCCTGTCGGCGAAACATCCAAATCTGATACCTTGAGGAACTTGATTATCCAAGTCACAAAAGGTATCGAGGATAAAAAAGTTGAGGAACTGGGTAAATTCGAGCGTATGCTAGCGGAGTTCGCTGCGAAGACAAAACAGGCAACCACCAAGCCTGGCGATAACGCGACGGATGAAAAAGAGTCGTCCACTCAACCCCCTGCGGATGCTGTGCCAAGCAGTGTTGACGAGGTAGCGGGTGATAAGGCTCCTCAGCCAGTAGAAGAGGGAACTCAGCCTTCGGATGGGCTCGAGTTTAATTATACGCCCCCGAAAGAAGTTCTTGGGATGTATGTTACCGTTCGCAACTATCAAAATCGTCGACCGGTAGATCGTCCTGAGATTGGCAACGAGAAAAAATTTTCCTGGGTTGTCGAATATAGTATTCAAGAACTCGAGGATTCAGAGGCAAGAAGGATTTATGCTCAAAGCAGGAAACGCCGGTTCGTCCAGTTCGACAACATCAGGAAGAAGAAGGATTCAGGTTACCAGCAGCACTTTCAGTCAATAATGCTTCGACTGTCAAAGGAGGGTGCTAAATTCCGCCAGGCTTTTGAAAACGAACAAAAAGGAAAAGATCTTCTCGTTGCTTGGGATAAGAAGCCGATTCCCAATGAAGAGGAGGAAACCCCAGGGAAGAAAAAAAAGTAGGTCGACGAAATAGATGACGCAGCCTTGGTTGGGCGCATTTGTATACTACTGTATATTCCTGTAACATTACTACAACATGGAAGCCATCTGGCGAAGGCACAATAATACCACCCTCACTTGAGTTTCAGGAGTTCATACCGAGCAACGGTACGGTGATGCTGGGTAAAATGGCACGCATACTTAGGCATCTGCGTACGCATGGATCATGTGGCTATTTCTTCAATACGAGATGAAAACGATGCTATCAAGCTTCACAAGGCTCCACCATGTGTTCGCATAATGAGGGAGGTGCCGGGGCAAGTCAGACGTATTGAAATGATATGAAATAAGGATGAGCTACGCCGTTCTGGAAATCCGTTCCGGACATGTGCCAACAGCGGCCGCACTACTAAGCTATCGGCCCTTAAAGGCTGAGAGTGAGAGAAAGTAGGTACATTAGTAGCACCCGTTGACACTTGTAGGGAGCACAGCTAACGGCCTTGGTAGAGTGGCAGCCGCGCATGAACTGGCAGCATGTTGATTTCATGCTGGGCACTGACTTCTCCCTCCGCCAACCTCGCCTCACATCAACATCACCGCGCGCGTCCCAAAACCCTAAATAGGGACGTACGATGGGATAATTAGAGTTCGCATAGCCATTCCCTTGTTTTTTTCTTGTTACGAGCCGAGTGCATGTACCTCGGAATCAGACCGGCACTCAAGGCGCGGCCTTCGTTGCTGGATCTCATCCGCGGGGGCGGCGACAGCGGTGGTCTCAGCGGGCTCAGCGGCGAAGGCAGCAGTATTGCGGCAGGGTCAGCAGGGCCCAGCACCGCCACCGTAGCGACTCGGCCACCTGCAGCTGGAGGCCTGGAGGCTGGCCCAGGCAACACCATACCAGCGGCAGCTACATCATCGCCTCCACCTCCACTTGCTGCGCCAAGCCAGGTCCCCGGTTGGCTCGACACTGCAGCTCTCCAGGTAGCTTCGACTCTACCTTTGCCAACCTCTCCACCGACATCACCGATCCTCTCAACGCCGCCTCCCTATCCTCCTTCACGGCCAGCCTCGCCGTCTTCCTCCGAGAGCGCTGATCTATCCGCACAAGAGCCTGCGCCTGCCCCAGCTCCTGTTCACGCCCTGTCCACCATGGCTCCCAAGGTGCGTTGTTGTCTGCATCGCCGACCGGTTGCACCTCTCGTTGCTCGGCCCCGCTGACATGCATCATCTCTAGAACTCGGCCGCCAGTGATGGCGATGAATCTCATCATGGTACCTATCTCCTTGTCGCCTCAATCTCACCGCGCGATGATTACTGACAGCTTCCCTAGGCAAGATTTTCTCCGTCTCCGGGTCCGTCAATCCCACCGAAACTGGCCGCAACAGCTTCCAAGAGCGAATCGATGCTAACTCGCTTGCAGCCCTGTCGTTGTCGCCGAAAACATGATTGGTGTTGCCATGTACGAGTTGGTGCGTTGAAAACCCGTGCCGGATGATGGCTGTTCTATCGTAGATTCCCGCTTACGCTCTCGATTAGGTCAGAGTAGGACACGAGAACCTCGTTGGTGAAGTCATTCGTATCAATGCCGACCAGGCATCTATCCAGGTTTACGAAGAGACCGGTATGGCATATGAGAATGGTCCTGAGAGCCCCAAGATCAATTGCTAACCTCCACTGCAGCCGGCGTTTCAGTCGGTGATCCCGTCGTTCGAACTGGCAAGCCCCTGTCCGTCGAGCTGGGACCCGGTCTGCTCAACGGTATCTACGACGGAATCCAGAGGCCTCTCCAGGATATTTCCAACATCTCACAATCGATCTATATTCCTCGCGGTATCGCCGTCCCTGCTCTAGACCGCAAGAAGAAGTGGGATTTCACCCCCACTCTGAAGGTTGGCGACCACATTTCTGGAGGCGATGTTTGGGGTACCGTGTTCGAGAACTCCTTCATCTCCACTCACCGAATTCTCTTACCTCCTAGAGCTCGCGGTGTCATCACCAAGATCGCATCCAAGGGCGAGTACACTGTCGCCGAGAACCTGCTGGAGGTCGAATTCGACGGCAAGAAGACCGAGTACCCTATGATGCAGAGCTGGCCCGTCCGTGCGCCTCGCCCCAGTTCCGAGAAGCTCAACGCCTCCGAACCCTTTATTGTCGGTCAGCGTGTCCTCGACGCTCTTTTCCCTGGTGTTCTGGGTGGTACCGTCGCTATCCCTGGTGCTTTCGGCTGTGGAAAGACCGTCATTAGCCAGTCTGTCTCGAAGTTCTCCAACAGTGATGTCATTGTCTACGTCGGGTGAGTTTTGCAAATGGAAATTTGACCTGCCTCATGGTGACTAACTTTTCGAAGATGCGGCGAGCGCGGAAACGAAATGGCCGAAGTGTTGAAGGATTTCCCTGAGCTTACTATCGATGTTGACGGCCGAAAGGAGCCCATCATGAAGCGAACAACCCTCATTGCTAACACTTCAAACATGCCTGTGGCTGCACGAGAAGCTTCCATTTACACGGGTATCACTGTAGCCGAGTACTTCCGTGATCAGGGCCTAAATGTTGCCATGATGGCTGACTCCTCTTCCCGATGGGCTGAGGCTCTTCGAGAACTGTCAGGTCGTCTGGGAGAAATGCCTGCTGATCAAGGTTTCCCCGCCTACCTGGGAGCCAAGCTCGCCTCCTTCTACGAGCGAGCCGGTCGAGTCCAGACCCTTGGTTCCCCCGAGCGTGTTGGTAGTGTGAGCATTGTCGGTGCTGTCAGTCCCCCTGGTGGTGATTTCTCCGATCCCGTTACTACTTCCACCCTTGGTATCGTGCAAGTGTTCTGGGGTCTCGACAAGAAGCTTGCCCAGCGTAAGCACTTCCCTTCCATCAACACAAGCGTCTCGTACAGCAAATACACCACTGTTTTGGATAAATTCTACGAGAAGGAGAACCCCGAATTCCCCCGGCTGCGCGACCGTATCAAGCAACTTCTCTCAGACTCTGAAGAGCTTGACCAAGTCGTGCAGCTGGTCGGTAAGAGTGCACTGTCCGATCCCGACAAGATTACTCTCGACATTGCTGCGCTTGTCAAGGAAGATTTCCTGCAGCAAAACGGTTACTCCGACTATGATCAATTCTGCCCCATCTGGAAAACGGAGTGGATGATGAAGCTCATGGTTGGATACCACGACGAAGCCCAGAAGACCATTGCCCAGGGCCAGACCTGGAGCAAGGTTCGCGAGGCCACGAGCGACATCATGTCTTCTCTGCGAACACTCAAGTTCGAGGTGCCCACCGAGGGTGAAGAAGCCATCACCAAGAAGGTACGCTACAATTTACATATCCACAATGACTGGTTACTAATGGTTTAAATTACAGTACGAATCCATTCAACAGACTATGTTAGACAAGTTTGCATCAGTCCTGGACGAGTAAAGGATCCTTTTAGGGGTGGGATACAACAACGGAGGGTGGAGGCTGTCTGTCGCCTTGTAAGCAGAAACCGTTTCATAGAGGTTCAAAGGAGCTTGGGAGAGAACGCACTTGTGTTTGGCTTTTTTTTTCGTTGAGCATGTCAAATCAGTAACAATCCTACTGTTTACACCGCTTTCCCCTTTACAAGTTCAGACCTACGTGTAATGTGGTGTGCTACCTAGAATAAGCCGCGAGTCGATATATCCGTCTTGGAGCTTGTGAAGTTACATTTAGATACTGACAGTGTGCTGACCCACCCTAACGATCCGTCTTGGCACTGTGCTCCAATCAATCCCTTCACTGCGCTCCAGAGCAGGCTCTTGATAGATGGTATGATTCGCCATCGTGCCCAGGCATTCTCTCCTCTCTATTCATGATTTCCCCCCCTTTGTTTCTCGCGTCCTAAAGCCTGGAAGCCACACAATGTCAGAAGAGCTCCAGGATGAGGTAGAGGCCATCAACTCCATCTACGGCGAGGGGACGCTCTCCCCCGCCTCGGAGGACTCGACGTCCGAGTACGTCCTCAACCTGCCCGGCGGCGCGTCGTCGCTGCGGCTGCGGTTCCCGGCCTCCTACCCGGAGGCGCCGCCCGAGGTGCTGGGCACGCACCACAGTTCGGGGGGGAGGAAGGGCGCCGGGGCCAGGGACCTCGCGCTGTTCGTGGATGTGCTAGGAATTGCGTTCCAGCCGGGGGTTGTGTGCCTGTTTGACTCTGTTGAGGAGTTCTCGAGGCGGTATGAGGAGGAGGTTGTGGTGGAGGAGGAGGAGGTAGGAGAAGAAGCAACAAAGCACGAGGATGACGGGGAGGGGGAGCCGGAGCTGGATCTGGCGTCGCTGCCAACTCCACCGTGGACGCTGTCGGAGCCCATCGTGGACAGCAGGTCGACGTTCCTGGCGCACGTGGCGCCCGTGAGGTCCCCGGATCAGGCGAGGCTGTACGTCGCGCAGCTGCTGGCGTCGGATAGGAGGATCCGGTCGGCGACGCACAACATGACCGCGTGGCGCATCCGCGGGGAGGGGGGCGCGAGCTACCAGGACTGCGATGACGATGGGGAGACGGCGGCGGGGGGCCGGCTGCTCCATCTCATGCAGCTGATGGAGCTGTGGGATGCCATGGTGGTGGTTACGAGGTGGTATGGAGGGGTGAAGCTGGGGCCGAGGCGGTTCGCGGTTATCAACGCCGCGGCGCGGGATGGGTTTGTGAGGGCGGGGATGGTGAAGGAGAAGGAGAAGGAAAAGGATAAGAAAAAAGGGAAATGAGTTATGATTCATGAATTCTGCTCTTGTGAAACGTGAATGAGTAAGTGCTATCTCTATGACTCTCAAGGACGACAACGGCGACGACCAAGACGACGAGGCTATTTACACTGGCAAAGGCGATGTGAAGAGAAAACACTTGCTTTTAATTCCATATCATCATGTATCCTGATTCCCAGGGACACGGCCTACGTATCTCGAAACACTTAGGATGTACGTTACCCAACAACTCTGAAAACAGTGATGCCACCTGAAAAGCCAGCCCAATACCAACACAACCGATAGAATGGACAGAGAACTCCTCGCAATACGATTGAACATCAAATGGCCACCCAAAGTAATTAGAAACTAAAACAAAGCCCTCTTAATTCCTTTCTTTTTCTTTCTTTTTTGAAACTGCCTCACATGATTCAATCCTTGGAGAGAAGAGGTTTCAGAATGTCCAAGGCGCGCGGGGAGTGCTCCTCTGGGAGGATGACCGCCCCGGCTCTGGCAGTGGACAGGTACGATAACTCCGAGCTCGCCGTCATCTGCATATCCTGGACCAGCTTGCCCGCCACGCCGCAGATTATGCCCGTGACCTCGGACGAGAGATTCAGCAGATCGAGGAAGATGGCGATCTGCGTGCCTTCCTTGTCGCCGATGAGCGACTCGCCGAACATGTCGAGCAGAGCCTTGTCCAAGAGCAGTGACGGCGGGTCATCGTGGGTGAGAGTAATGGACAGGAACCTTGGCTTCGCGGCGAGCGCGGCGACGATGCAGGTGTAGAGTTTGGCGTCGATGGTGTCTACCCACGTGCGGCCCCCCGTGTGACGACTCCTGGAAGGTCGGTGGTCGTAGACCTCATCAGTAATGGGCGAGATCTCACGGCCAGAGCACTGCACAAGCTCTAAGCCGTCTACTACGGTGGGCGCGACCTTCCTCTTGCTGAGGAGGTCAAAGGCCCGGGACTGAAGCTCCGTGATGCTGGCAGGAGGCGGCGTCCTGGGCGGCGAGCCGCTCCCGCTGGACGTCCTCGAGCGGCTGTAGGTGGACGAGTTGACGTACGAGGTCTGGTTGTGGGAGAGCTCGAACCCCTTGGAGAGTAGCGCCTTGACTACGTTCTCCCTCTCCTTCACCGGGACGAGGATAAAGTCGGAGTAATACGTCGAGATGTAGAAGATGGAGATGCCAGCCAGCGCGAGGGGGGACGTCAGGTCCATGACACGGTTGGCTGCGTCCAGGCCTGCACTGATGACGGCGAGGATCACATACGTGGTTTGAGGTATGTCGACCGTACCGGCCAATTTAGGCGGCAGGTTCCTGATGATGGGCTCAAATACATTCTTGGCCCAGGAGCTGTGGCAGACAATCGAGACCTCGATGGGTGTGACACTGATGTTGAGGAAGTTGTGCTGGCCATCGGAGGTCAGTCCCTCGAGCTCGTGCCCAAGGCCATTCTCTGAGCCGCGCGGGACGTGCTTGCTCTGCGGCAGGAGGAGGACCTGGAGGATGGGCTGGACAAAGGACGAGTAGAGGGCCAGGGGGATGTGTATCAGGCTGTACTCGCCCTCCTGGGCATCTCAGCAAGTCAGCAAAGCGGTTGCGACTCTGGCAGCGGCAGCCCCCAAAAGGCCCAAAAGGGTATCCCGGGGGCAGAAGCTGCAGGAAACCAAAAGCACGGGATGCACATCGAGTTCCTGATCCAAAGTCGTGTAATTCATGTGACAAAGAAAACGGACCCAGATGATGGGCGATAAGAAAGGACCGAGAACCGGGTCTTATCACTCGGCCCCGTGGAACGTGATTGGGCGGCGAGGGGCTAACTCACCAAGAAGGATATCTGGGCGTTCATGGCTGGATTCTAGGTACGGTTCCTGGAGACGATCGGCTGGATGGGATGGGATGGGTAATGATGAAAATATGAGATGAGATGAGATGAGATGAGATGGGTGATGCTACCTCGAGAGAAGAGCAATTGATGGTTGGGATTGAACTCAGTTTCGCCGGTTGTCTGGTAAGGTTTTATCAAGTAGAGTCCCTTCTCGTGACCAGGCCAAACAACCTAAACAGTCCCAAGCCAATGTGCAACCCCGGGCGCCAGCCAGAGCATCTTCCTCCAGGGCAACGAACAGTCTGGGGAGAAGGAAGGAGAGAGGGAGGAAGCCGGGAAGGAAACGAGAGAGCCGCCCGGCTGGTTATAGATGGCCAGCACAATACGGCAAGCCGCCGCAGGAGGGGCTCAGATGGGTTAAGATGGCCCGGGACTGGTGGGCCTCACGCGTAGATTTATCTATGAATTATTCCACTTGCAGATGAGGTGGCGGATGGCCCAAAGGGGGAGCAAGCAGGCAAGCATGCTTGGTTAGAGGCACCTCCAGGCAGGTGTATGATAAGTGCAAGATGCGTCAACCAGGGGTGGCCCCCAAGCAGGGCCAATGCCCAAGGCGGATTACCATGCCCGGCATCCCAGGGGACTCAACTGGATTGAAGATGACGGAGGAGGCAAAGGCGCGTTTGCCTACCTGAGTTAATTGCACCTTGCGCTGCAGGAGAAAGACCGGCTGCTCTCTCTGCACGTTGTCACCCACCCAAGGCCTAGACCCAGGCGGGCTTGGCGCCTCTTTTTCCCTATCAAATATGGGCTTCTTTTCCTCCCCTAGGGCTCTCCACCGTTTCTGGAGGGTCTTGAGGCGGTTCGCGAGGGACCAGGCAAGGGTGTCTTCGAACCATCGGGGAGTGGGGAAGAAGACTGGCCGAGTGTGGAGTTGGAGGTCAGCGCACACCCACCACTCACGACGGCAACTTGCTTCTTTCGAGCCGCGTGCAGAGATGTGCAAAGATGCAGGGCGCAGACAGACTCCTGAGTGGCTGCAAGGGTGGTGGTGTGCATGTAGGTACAGCGCCGGTCGCTTCGGGAGGCAGCTGAAAATGCGGAGGGCCCAACCACACCTCCAGAACGAGTATCCAGCCCTGGCCCAGAGTTGGGTGGTGGCTCAGGACGTGAAACGGTAGTCTTTCTCGTCTGCTCGTGTCTATTTTGCTTAGTTCACTTTGCTTTTGTCGTATTGAGGCCGTAGCTCATGCGTACATGGCCCAGCACAGGTATCGTATACACCACTACTTCAACAACCCGTGATTGATGGGATGTTACCGATGGCTGGAAACCGAGCTTCTGGTGCAAATCAGATACCCTGGCCCGCATCGAGACATGCCTTGCATATCCTTGTCAATCGGCCATTGTTCCTGCGCTTTCCTTGTTTTCTGGGGCACCAAGTCGCCCTGTCTGCATCAGCAACCAACCACACTCCTTCTGAAGGCAGACCTATTCGGCACGGGCGATGCACCCGTCATTGAAGTCATATCCTCGAGTACCAATGGTTGCCTGTCCCGGTGGCCAAAGTGAGATTCTGCCGTTGGACACCCCATAATGAAAAATATTGAGTGGTCATCTGACAATGGATTTTTCAACTGTCATCTCGATTGTGACATGCTCTTCTCGATGCCCAAGCCCCTTTTCTCCAAGTTCCCTAATCTTTGTATTTCTCCCGCCTCTTGGATTTCTTGACTAATATGGCTCGGTTATCTTCGTCCCATTGTGGACACCATCAGATCCCCGTAATCCCCCAGGTATCCATCGTTCAACTCTTCCCAGAATACAATCAATGTTTGTCTTCATTATTAGTAATATTGTAATATCATTTCCTGATTCTCGCATGAGGTAAGAGGAAAAGTCTATTCGTATGCATAAACCCCTTCATTAGCCCTCTGATTACCATGTAAGTGGAACCCGAGCAATGAGATATTGTCTCAACCGTTTCATGATCCTGCTCAGCATTAACTCATTAACTCCCCCATAATGTCATCCGAGATACTTTGTTTGCTGTCTAGACTCTACAGGCTTCAGGGCCGCTAAACTCAATTACTTTAGTCCAACGCCTCAATCACACCACTTTGACAGTCGCTTCGTCCATGAACGTTGATGGGTCCCAGCACATATAGCCGGGATAAATTACAAGCGAGAATTGCCTAACAGAGTATAGACATATATCTCTAGGTACAAATGACTCTAATAGTAACAACAATTGAATATCATCTTTTCGGATAGCAGCGTGGGTAGAATCAACACCGTGGCGGAAGACTCGGATAGGACCATGTACACACTCGAAGAGGATTATGCAACTTCAGCTCTAATGAACGTACTTCCCGGGTTGATCAGTCACAAACCGGGATCCTTTCCGAGCCAACATTGGCAAAGTGCTTCCAAGCCCAGGATTCATGTCGATATATTCGTTGATAATCATCTGAGAAGTGTAAACTCAGAACGGGGCCTGTATCGAATAGCTTACCTTTTTCGGTAATTATCAAAGCTTACAAGTGATTTGTCTTCTGTCATTTTATCACTATTGCATTTCTAGAAACATAGCACTTTATGTACAAGCGCTGTTTGTCTCAACTCTGGCCACCCCCAACCCACACACACTCAGCTACTCTCATGCATGGGAAACGCATGCAGGGAGCCAAAAACTTACATAAAAAGATCATTGCCTTATTCGTACCTGACTGGCAGCTAACCGATGTACATGCATGTAGGAACAGTACCAGCCCGTTACAGCGCAGAACAGCATCCGAGGTGGATAGAGGCTGGCAACAAGCAGCCCTCACGGATGGGATGGATGGATGGATGCGATCGTTGGTCAGGTGTTTGAATTCGTCACTCCTCGAGCATTAGCCAATACCTGACCCCCACGATAGCCGAGATTCCAAAAGAGTCGCATGCATCCCAGACTGTGTAGCACGGCGGAAAATTTGGTGCTGCCTGGGACGGAAGGAAACAGGCAGACAGCCTCTCTTCGGATATCCAATTGAAGCCTACCTAATTAGCAGATCACTGAGACAGGACGTAAAATTCAATTTAAACCGGCCCGGGCGTTGGACATCCGGCATTCCTCCTGAATTCCATTCTAGTCCAGCCGATTCAAGCCAGCCAGTGCCTCGTGTTGAGACTGCGGCGTCGAACCCCCACAACCGTCGCCTCGGGTGGGAAGACAAGCATACGCCATCATCCATGTCGACCTGCATGTGCGTACAGCAATTGTGTCCTTTCAAGTCCTGTGTTTTTACCCGGACACAAGCTTGCCCAAGTCAGCCGCCCAGCTGCTTAGAGCCAGCTGCATGCACCACATTGGCAAAAAGGGGTTGGAGGATACGACAATACAGTGCTGTGCCACCCCTGAGGACGGGAGGAAACATGAAGGGAGGCGAGGAAACAACAAACCCGAAAACGAGGACACGGGCCGCCAGAGAGTCAGCTGATTTATTCCACTTCACGCCGCCCGATGCACTGCTACTATGGCGAGACCACGCTCTCATATATCGTCAAACTTTGGTTGCATGTGTGGTCAAGTGCACCCGGCTGCATGTTCAGTTGAGAAGAATCCCAATTGGCTGCTCGGTCTGTCGCCTGGCATCGCTGGACACCTTGGTCTCCAGCCGGGCGGGTAAGTGTCCACTGGCTCACCCTTGTTGAGAGGATTATGGCCCTGAATGCGAGCAAGACCCCCGGTCTCTTCCTCCATGCGACTGGCACATGCATTGGATACCTGCGGACACATGTGGGAGGATGTGATGGAGGATATGCCGTCACTCCAACTGCCGATCCGCGGACTGTAGGTAGCGTCACATCATCCGCTTCTCCGGCCTTTGTTCACGATTTTTTTTTTTTTTTAATTTATGCTGTGCTGCTCTACTTCTTGATTCCTACCACCACGAGATTCCGCGGGCTCTGCTTGAAGTCGAACACCGTCTCAACCCATGACTGGTCGACTACGTCGCTGTGCTCCTGGAGAAACGTCCACCTGTCAGACACGATCAGGGATTCCACCACAATGGCGCTGAAGGCCATCAAGCTCCACACAATGGCGAGCTCCTTCTTTCGCGGCGCGAACTCCCTCTCGTACCGTTCAATCTCCTCATCCGTCAGCGCGTCCATGCTATTCTTCAGCTGGTCATTGTACTCCTTGAAATCCGTGTTCATCGACAGCTTCTCCACCGCGCAGTGCACGTAGCTCTTGAACGAGTTGTAGGCGCTCTTCTTCACGGAGCCGATGATGACGGGGTTCGTGCTGACGTCGAACGGGCTCTCCGCGGCACCGTCCGTCTCCTCCCCGGGGCCGGGCGTGCGGTGTCGGATCTTGTCCACCACACCGCGATCCAGGAAGAGTTTCTGTAGGACTGCCCGGTAGAAGTGCCGCGTGAAGAACCCCTCACTCTCGGATCGTGTCCAGTTTTCCAGTGCTTGGCAGGCCATCATCCGGGCTGTGATGTTCAGGCGGATCCCCTCTCCCTCGTGGGTAGAAAATCGGTTGCTCATTGGGAAGCCCTGGGGGTCGAATTTCGCCGACTCCCTTACCACTCTGCCGTTGACTGCCTGTAGTGTCGGCCGTAGATAGGGCTGCTTGTAGGTTGGGGGGCCAAGCTTCTCTGTGAGTAGGTTGTAGCAGCATCCCACGATAGCCACTGCCCGGATATCGGGGTTCATAAGAAGGGATCGGATTCCAAAGTGCGACAGGTTGCCACATGAGTGGATAGAGACCGCCATGAGCTTCAACTCGCGCTTCTTCTCCTCCTCTTCCACCACTCTGTTTTTGTCGATCTCTGAAATGACCTCGGTCAGATCCCCGCTGTCCAGCCTTCCAGAGATATACTGGACATGCCCCTTGCCATCTTGATATTCGTACTTTCCTTCAATCTGGCTCATCGGTCTGAATTCAATATCAGAAGCTCCTACCACCTCCTCAATCGCTTTATCCACAAGGGCCCGGTCCTTGAGACCGTCCGGCCCAACAATAGCCTTGATCTGCTTCCAGAGCTTCTTGTTCCTCTGCATCTGAGGCTTCAGCGCCACCCCTGACATCATGTCGAGCTCCTTGGCAGAGCTGACGTTGTGGTCTCTTCCTTCTACTGCGACCACGTGCCGATTGTAGGGTTCGCTGGCCAGTGCTCTGCCCAGGTAGTTCTGACCGCTGCCGAAGTCCACAAAGTGGGTGATCTCGCCGCCGAGCTGGCCCTTGATATCACTGGACAGCTGCGTGACGTAGTCGGCAAAGCTGCAGACCTCGTGGATCTTCTTTGGTTTCATTCCAACCGCCACGATCCTGGGTAGTTCTGGGAGTTGCTTCTCCTTGGGAACGAATTTCCGGTCGAGCGACAGCTCACGCACCTTTCGGATGTATGCAATTAGTGACTTGGGAGGTTGGTGCTCCCCCTCGTGCACGAACGTGTCAAGGTCTTCCCTCACGAGGAGATCTAGGAAACGCATGATATCGCAGGAGAGTAAGAATGCGTGCCATTCTTCCGGCAGGGCGGCATAGAATGTGCCGGGCTCGATGGTGAAGAAATCGAGGATGTGAACACCACCACATAGGATGCGGAAGATGTCTGACGTTGTGACGAAATTAAGCAACTCCTTGATATATGCATCCGGAGATTCAAAGCTCCCCGTGTAAGGGAGAGGTCTCTCGGGTGGCATGATGTCTGCTGAAACTCCTATGCATTAGCACTCTGCTACCCTAAATCCATCCATGATCACCCAAGGTTAAAAACATAGACAGCTCTACTATTTAGTAGATTCCGTACCTTGTGAAAGCCTTTCTAGGTTAGAATATTTGGTCCAGTTACCAGGAGGTTCTTTCTCATCTAAGACTGATGCGCAATTCAAGAATGTACATCGAGTGACCAAGTAGGTATGTTAAGAGACTGGTATGGAGGGGGAGGGGCAGCGCCAGAATGTCGCACAAGTCCACGGTAATCTGAAGGACAGAATAGTCTCGAGAAATAGGCCCAGATGCTGTAGAAAATAGTACAGAACGTAATATTTCTTGCTACTTGCCGAATCCAACCGATATCTGTAAAGTTTGCTAGAGGGAAATCTGCCTCTGGTTTAGCGGTACTTCCGCTTTCGGTATAGCGCACTGCGGCCCTCGCCGCTCTGAAGAAGCATCTATAAGTACCGACCCCCTATTAATTTCTTTCTAACTTTTAACTCTTGTTCTTATTCTCTCTCCTTGTTTACTGTACACCCTCTCTCCCTTTTTTTTGGCCGGTGTGAAAACGAAGGTGACAACCTGGAAAGTCGCATTCGAGTGAAGGGATCCCTGGGTGTTTCTTCTTGATATGACCTCGCAAGGAAGATCTGGCTGTGGGCGTGTTGTACTAGACATCGCAACCTGGAACCGGACATCTAAGCATTTGGTAGGTGGCGTTTGGGGAAGGGCTGCTCGCAGTCTCAGCTGCTTCTGGTCTCGGTGTGATTAAAGAACCGTTCGCCATAGGAGACAGGCGTCTTCTTTTTCCTTTGAAACGTGGAGCTCCAGCCTTGATTCGGTTAGGACAGTCGATAAGGGCAATATTATATATCGACAACTCACTCTGGCACGTTTCTTTGCCATCTTCGCGATGAATGAGAGGTCCTTGTAGTGTCACAGGCAAAAGCAGCCGTGACGCGAGGGCCATGGGCTTACTAAGGCGTCACAAGTACGGAGCTGGAAAAACCTTAGGGCTGATGGCCTCTGGGTTCCTCTGCGTGCGAGTCTAACGAAAAGAAATAAGAGGTTTAGAGATTAATTGATATCCCGGGAAACACCCTTCGTGTGCCCTAGTCTACCCTGCGATTTCACACCTGATGCACTTCCTTCACTCTTCCTAAGACCAACTTTTACAGATATCAAGCTTCTCGCTGTGGGCAACACAGCTTGAAGCGGTACGGCTGTTGAAACTTCGCTCCCTCTCCGGTCTCGGCAGGTGGGGCGTTAGGGGTGACGTGGTTGGTTCTCTTCTAGCTCAGTGAGGCGGGGCCGAGTTGCGCTGCCAGCGAGTTTCGGAGGAACAAGCGGTCCCCGACCTCCCTCTACTCTGTATCTAGTCGAATCTATTCTTTAATTTCCTCGCTTCCTTTTCCAATCTCCCTTGTTGACCATATTTCTTTATTGGGTAGGTGGATGTGAACACATCCGTGTTTGAAGAAACATACGTCTCCTTCGCCATAACTTTAAACGTCCCTCCGTCAGACCTCCCACGTCATCTTCCAACTCATTCTCATGATTCATCACATAAAACGGATCTTTCTCTGAACAGAAATCATCGGACAAGTATTGCAATCATGACGCAACACAACATTGTTGTTTTTGCGGGCGACCACTGTGGCCCAGAGGTAATTAACTATACCTGAGCTTTCCCACTTTTGACTTTATATAAATAAAGAGAGCCTGACTTGAATTATTTAATAGGTTATTGCTGAGGCAATTAAGGTATGAATTTGGTGCTCGCGACCTGCAGTTAAACAAGTTTGACCTAGGAATTAGGTTATTAAAACGGTTGAGGAGCTGAGCCCGACTGCTGGCAAGTTTAATCTAGAGGACCACCTGCTTGGAGGGGTAAGTCTTCTCTTAACAACAGATTACATAGGCCCTGAGCTTGCTAACTTTGGCGTTTCTCTATCTAGTGCTCCATTGATCAGACTGGTGTGCCCCTTACAGATAAGGCCCTTGCTGCCGCCAAAGCTGCCGACGCTGTGCTCCTTGGCGCTATTGGCGGCCCTGAATGGGGCACCGGCGCCGTGCGCCCTGAGCAGGGCCTCCTAAAGCTACGCAGTGAAATGTGTGCATATGGAAACCTCCGTCCCTGCTTCTTTGCGTCTGATGCCCTTGTTGAGTCCTCTCCTCTAAAGGCATCTATATGCCGTGGCACCGATATAATGATCGTTCGCGAATTAACTTCTGGGCTCTACTTCGGTGAGCGCCGAGAATACGATGGGCTTAATGCATTTGATACTACGGTTTATACAAAACCCGAAGTCGAGCGTATTGCGCGATTAGGCGGCTATCTAGCTAGGGCTAGAGGAGACTCACGGGTTATCTCGCTAGATAAAGCAAATGTATTAGCAACAAGCAGACTTTGGCGTTCTGTAGTTGAGGAGGTTTTTACAAACGAGTTTCCTGATCTAAAGGTCGAGCACCAGCTTATTGATAGCGCGGCTATGATCATGGTCAAGAACCCAACGCAGCTAAATGGCGTTGTGCTAGCGCCGAACTTGGCAGGTAAGTAAGGCCCTTTGTTTATTTTGATTTAGCTAATAAGTTTCTAGGAGATATTCTCAGCGATGAGGCAAGTGCGATAGCTGGAAGTATAGGGCTTCTCCCGAGCGCAAGTCTCTGCGGGATTCCATCCTCTGCAGTGCCTTCTATCTATGAACCAATTCATGGTAAGACTTTTATCCCCGCTGGAGTCCTTATGCTAACGTAGATAATAGGTAGCGCGCCGGATATATCAGGGAAAGGGATTGTTGTACGTCAAGACCTTATTTCGGGTGATTCCTATCTACTTGCAATAAATTAAAAGCTAATATTATTTCTAGAATCCTATTGGTACTATCCTTTCCGTGGCTATGATGTTCCGGTACTCTCTGAATATCGCTCACGAGGCTAAAGTCGTCGAGGATGCGGTCCGTGCTGCTATTGATGCCGGGCTAAGAACTAAGGATATGGGGGGCAACATGAGCACCGCAGAAGCAGGAGATGCTATCGTTGCTGAGCTGGTCAAGATTCTCAAAGCGTGAGTCGAGAACAGAAGTAGTGGAGGAAAACAGTGGTTGACAGAAAACTGGTTGAGAAAAAACCAGTTAATTACAAAGGGCACAGACAACAGAAGACCTATACGATGCGCCCTACCAGTCGCTAAATAAGTCACAAATATAAAAGCCTATTACTTAAAATACAAGTCAGATATAACAATAGCTTCATCCGCTGCCTTGTTGCAGTTTATTACTTGACTCGCCTCCAACAGCTACGGGGCAAGGATGACAGACACAATGGCATGGAACATGTACTGCCTTTCATGGCTCGCATGAAGCAACTAGCCCCAGCAGACAAGCCGGCTCCCTTTCTTCTCGATGGCTACCTATATCCTTAATGGTTTCAACTCAAAGCGACTGCCGCTGAGAACGGCCGCAATATGCTGCCCGTTCAGGATAAGAAACTAAATCCCCCCTTCCGTCGGCCTGGTTTGATGTTTCACTCTAGGCAGATCGATAATTTTGATCTCGACAGCTGGGTACCGAGATGGTTCTCGTCACACGACATCGAACTTCCAGCAGATGCAGAAAAGAATCCACTCCTACACAGCCCATGCAAGGTGGTGATCGCAAGGGAGTCGCAGACTGAATACTTCTTGAAGGATTTGTTGCGAATCTTGCGGTAGTGGTCGGCGGAATGTTGGGCAGCTCTTCTCTCGCAATGCTTGACGGCCATGGCCGAGTAGGTGCTTAGTGTGTGACGAAGTGGTAGCCGAAGAGCATAGCTTGGGAGGGACTGATGAGGTAGATAGCAAAGAGTGATGGAAGCAAGGCAAATGCGAGTGAAGAGAAAGGAACGACAGCTGTTTCCTATCGAGATGTAGTTGATGGGGCTGATAACAATGGCTCAAGAATCAAGCGACAAACTGTGACCGTGTCACGAACGAGGTGACAACAGAATAAGTGACGAGCAAAACGAGCGGACGGCCAGCGGCTGCCATGGATGGCCAGGTGCGAGGGGGAAACGACATTTTGAATGCTGTGCCCTTTGGTGAGGCCAGGCTTTAGGTAACTGCTTAGAGGAGCCCGGTTTTGGGGTCCTGGGATTCGCAAATGGGACAGGGATTGTCGATGTTTTAAGGACCCTGCTCGCGGAGGGGAAATTTGTTAACCCGCTGATTGGTGGTCGGTTTGGAGGAGCGCGGGGCGTGGGCATAGCAGGAGTACCAGAATGGTTGGCTCTTGGCATTCAGGACAGAACGCCGCTTAAGGCGGCGGCCAGTGCCAGCTAAATTCGGCGGCGGATTTCCCTCTAACCTACACTTAAGTTATAAAGCCCGTGGAAGAATTTTTGGTGTGTAACAACACTACAGTTGGACCCATATATTATTTTGCTAGGTGAGATCTCGGTCAATCTCGGTGTGACGGTACGTACCTTTCCAAGTACCCATAAAATAATGTCGTTCTCGACGAAGACGAGCGGCTGGCCAGATGCTCTTTCAAAATGTCTAAACATGGATTTAAGAGTCCTAGATTAAATCCTCTGACTTCTGCGTATTGTAATGCTAAAAAGAGATAGGAAACAAGGAAAGTGAAACTAAAAGAGTGGCGATCGTTCTCTCAAGTGAAAGCTTACTCTTCTTGATGTTAGAGAGCCAGCTGATATAGGCTGGAACTTAGCAGACATTACACGCAGTACCGCCATTCCCGAATTTGATCGAGACATACCATGATTCCTGAATTGTATGAATTTTCTATAGACATTCCACCCAGCATCGGGATCGCTCTGCTAAATCTAGGCCGCCAAAGCCAATCACTGTGGGGCTCGAAGTCAAGGTTGTCCCTAACTGCACTGATAAAGTATTCCCACGGCCGACTGGGGTTGCAACGTCATCCCTCGAATCAGCACCTCAGCTATACCGAACTACCACACTGCCTACCAGGCTCCAGCATCATTCCTTCACTTGCTACTGCAACCTCCTTCAAGGGAGCCACCGCAATCCTTTCTGATTTTAACCCACGTGCATAGCGCCTTGTTGCGGGAGCCATGATGTCGTCCAACGACGCGGATCCCTTCCTAGAGGTCCAACAGTAAGTTCCGATATCATCTCCTTGGCCAGTCCAAGCCGTTATCAATTCAACGGGAGCCGTTGCTAAGCCTCGTCTGTGCAGAGATGTCCTGAGCCAACTCAACACCACACGCTCCCTCTTCTCCTCATACCTGCGCATCCGCTCCCTCACAACAACCGCCTCCTCCCCCGAACTGGCCTCCGCCCGCTCCGACCTCGAGACCGCCCTGGGAGACCTCGCCGACGACCTCGAGGACCTCGTCGACTCCGTCCAGGCCATCGAGAGCGACCCGTCCCAGTTCGGCATCTCAAAGGAGGAGGTCAAGCGGCGCCAGCGCCTCGTCCAGGATGTCGGCGGGCACATCGACGAGATGCGCGAGGAGATGCGCAAGAAGATCCTGGGTCCCGGCACCGCGGCGGCAGCGGGAAGCGACCTGCCCGACCCCAGCGCGTACGCCATCCCCGAGGGGGCCGACGACGACCCGTACGCCGAGTTCGAGCAGCAGCAGCAGGTCGAGATCATGCGCGAGCAGGACCAGCACCTGGACGGCGTGTTCCGGACGGTGGGGAACCTGCGCCAGCAGGCCGACACCATGGGGAGAGAGCTCGAGGAGCAGCGGGAGATGCTCGAGGTCGTGGAGGAGGCCACCGATAGGGTCGCGGGCAGGCTGCAGAACGGCATGCAGAAGCTCCAGCATGTGATGCGGAAGAATGAGGATAGGTTCAGCGGTTGCTGTATCGCTGTGCTCATCTTCGTTCTTATCCTCCTGTTAATATTAATTTTGGTCCTATAGTGGCCTGGGGTGGTCTCCCTTCCCTTTCATGGGGTATCTATACGAATTACTACAGAGCGTGGCTTTCTCGGAGTTGGAGTTTTGGTTTAAATGGTACGTGTATGCCTTCTGCAGGTTATATGCAGTCTTAAGACGGGTTTTCAATAATGGTTAGACATTTGGGGGGCTTGAACCCAGCCCTTCTAGTATTTCTTTATAAATATATTCTAAGCCTTTGTGAACACCAGCATGCAGCCGATCCGGGGAAACCCAATTTAAGATCCAAGAAACGCCCTGATCATTTTTTCATAAGTTGTACCGCTTCATCAAATGCACTTCGCAGGCTACGCCTAAGTGAGGACAAGGCCACTCTCACGGAGGACCTCGGCGAGTGCCCTCAGAGAGCCCGCCGCTGCCGCATTCTCGGGGGCCTTTTTGGGGAATTCGATCAGTGCGAGACGGAGAGCAGCGAGGCCCGCGTTGCCATAGAAGTTGAGGAACCGCTGCTCGTATCCTCCGATCATAGCCCTAAGTACAACATATTGCGTGTTGGAGATCTGCCCGACAGGGGAGTTGACGATGCCTGCGAGGGCCACCCAGTAGTTTGTAGGGGGATAAGGGTTTGTCCTCGCACTTTTGCTGAAGTCACGCAATGACACAGCAGCGAATCCTGCACCGAGCCCTGTCATTCTGTCGTTGTGGCTCTGCTCAGTGATCCAAGAAGGTCCGTCCTTCTTCCACCCGAGGGCAATTCTGCCTCGTTCTGTCTTGTCATTCCCCCTTAAGCCGAAAACAACGGGGCACACAACCCGAAACTTGGACATGAGAATGTCAATCAATGGCTGGCCCCGCCACATGAACTCCTTGGTTGAGAACACCTGGGCAGTGAAGACGCCAATGGGGTCTGCGGATTTGGGGTTGGCCCCTCCTTCGTTGATGAACTGGCTGATGATGCTCTTGGCGCAAATGTTGAGCAAGTACAAGAAGAGCGAGGGCATGGTGAGATCATTGTGCAACGCGCCCTCGGCAGGTTCTCTCTGGTCTACGACATAACGGCTGACGTCAATGGGAGGGCTTGGGACCTTGCCCTCGAGGGCGTCACGCAGTGCTGCCATGATTTTGCTGGTCTGTTTCTTGTTAGGGACGTCAACCACATGTTGGTAGCTGAGAGTCTTGACTTACTGGCTGTGCATTGGCTCCCTTTGTTCCTGTCAGCTGACCAATCGATACTCTTATTTCTCTTCGATATGCGCCCAATTTGCCTTTCATAGGGGAACCGGGGACCTTCGATTCGGCGACCAAGTTCTTTCGTAGTTTCTTTAGCTCTTGATGTATTTCGGTATATCTGTTGATGAGCCCTTGGTTTGCTGGTTGGCCGTTGCTCACCGGTTGGACAGGGGCGGGCTGCTTGGTAGGGGGGAGAGCGCCATTTGTAGGCTGTGACGGGGCCACGTTGTTTGGTTGTGCTGGCTTTGATACGGCATTTTGGAATGGGTTTGCTGGAGCAGTGTTTTGTTTCGCGGCAGCGGGGGGGAAGATGGAAGTTGATGGCGCGACCTTCGGGGTTGCGTTGGCGGTCGACGCAGTTGGAGGGGCGAGTGTGGGAGCTGTAGGGGGCTTCGTGGCTGCTGGTGCGGGTGCCTGAGCTGGCGCCTTTGCCGGTGCTGGATTGGGAGGAGGAGGTTCTACTTTCGGAGATGGAGGTTCGGGCGGTGGTTTCGGAATCGTCTTCGCTTTCAGCTCTCGTAACCGCAATTCCTCGGCGGCGATCTGAGCTTCTACCTGAAGCCTCTGTTTTTCCTGGAGCTCTGCCTCTGCTATCCTCTTGCGTTCCAGTTCTAACTCGTGGAGCTGATAAGCCCTGATCGCAGCCTCGCGGACTCGGTCATGCTCAGCCTGGGCTGCTTCGAGCGCGTCTCGGTGGGAGCATTCTGTATTACGGTCCTCGCCCAAGAAGCTCGAGAGAAACCGTCGGTCGGGACTGGAAAGCATTAGGCTTCGCCTCGAAGCAGGCGGTGATGACCGTGTCATGGTTAGGGAGTAAAGGCGAAATGTTTGTTGTTATCGACAAAACATCTGGGATATGCGAGGGTGGTCTTGATACCAATGATTCGCGGTATTGTAATTATCGTCGCGCGCGTTCAAGGAAAAGCGAGAGGAAAATCAATTGGGCTTTTTCTAATAAGACAACCTGCGTTTACTTCGTAACGCCCCGTTTTGGAGCTCTGTCTTGTTAGGTTGAGGTTGAGCCTCCTCGAACTAGTAACTTGGTTTTTCCGCTTGGACGATCGATAGCTGATTAGCATTGCCGTATGCATGCACATCTCCAGCCTTGTCTGGGGACAATAACAGCCACATGTGGCGTTGGCTGAATTTTGTGGGGAAGCGATCAAGAGCTTGGCATATGTACTACTACCCTGCACCTGTACCATGTGATAAGATGCTTGCGTTGCTGGGCAATCATAATCAAGGACATGCTGGCTCAAGAGCTGGTCCAGGCTTGAATCCTCGCAGCGCTATTGGTGTTTGGTTCGTGGCATCATCTGAAATGGCCTCCAGCACACCTTCATGGATCCTGGAGAGGATTTTTGGTCTTCCTGAAGCAAGCTAATGTTTCTGATCCCTGATCTTACGGCCTGGTGGTGGGCTTCCGTGCTGAACGAAGCTGCCACTGAGTACCTAGTAGGTCCCAACGTTCTTGCACGCCGTGCAAATACGTGATTGGTTTACATGGCCATCTATAAATAATAAGATGCATGAATGAAGCATTGATGCATATGATTGGCAACCCAATCCGTGCCCCATTTACACATGTTGGTTTCGACCAGAAAGGCAACTGCAATGGTGGCACTAGAAGTGATTAGCAGATCCTCAGGTGTTACCATGAGACGGCGGCCTCGACGCAGCTTTGTACAAACAAACATACCTGCAAGGCTGGGATGTGGGTTGTGTGTTTTGTTGACCTTGCCTGGGTCCATGATCGTAATTATGAAGCCCCACCGGGCCCAGGTCTTGGCCACCGACCTACGGCCACCTACCTAATCAAACTGACGGCATCTCGTCTGGTTGAACCAGCTGGGAGTCGCGGGGATTGTGTGGCCTTGCCGCTGCCACTTGTGCTCTGGCTGACTTTTCTGTGGCACGTAATCATGGCCGATGCCTCGTTTGGTGTGTGATAAACTTTGGAATACATGAAATTTTTTCGACGCCTTCCACTGGTGACTTGCTCCCATTCGAGACCAAAGAATAAGGGGGTTAGACATATGACATCGATGTACTATTATAGCACAGGCGGCTGGATCCACTGCATTATTATATGGTTGCATTACGGCAAAGTCAATAGGTCAACGAGGCAAGACATTAAAAGCTGGGGATACTGGAATTTGAGCGGTAAAGGCAAGACACAGATGCCCAGAGCTTTGGGTCAGTGCATTTCGACATTCATTGCTGCCTAGGTAGGCAGTCAGCAGCCATGTCCGTTCTCGTAATACACAATCCGCTTCACAGCTGGTTCCTGTACATGCCTGGGTCAAGGATGGCTCCCTAACGTCGAAGTGGACTAGCGGGGACGGGCTCTAATAGTGCTAGTAGTTGTTGTGGTGATCGTTGGAGGATTTACATCAGAGGCTGTCTGAACTATGGTGATCATGTATAATAGTGCATACCACCTGAAAGTCTGTAGGAGCTAGCTGGCGGCGAGTGCGGATGTCGAACGCATTGGCTGGAATGGCGGGCGAGGTCCTGTCAAGTACCGGGCGGTATCCATTATCCATGGATGAGAAAACAACCTCCTTGCCATCGAGCAGTCCAGGACATGTGCCCGCTGCTGGGAAAAGGTGGATTCTGGGCCTCATCATCACCGGCCGGCGGACCCCTAATGATGCACACCAGTTTGCCGCCACCTCGACCAGCCAGTGAGAAGAGCCAGTGTGGCACCTCTGCCGCCCCCCAGCTCTGCGGGAAGATTGCTGTCGCCCGCCCGGAATACACCTCCCAAGTCTGCTGCGGTGTAGAGTAGGTACTTACAGAGCAACCGCGGTAATGATGGCCTGGCGGGCGATGGACCCCCACTGACGGCAGTGCCCTACGCACTACCTACGGGCTCCCGCCAGCAGGGGAGCAGCAGTTGGCTGCGGCGTGTACGAGCTGAGGATAGCAGTCGATGTGGCCTGGGCTTCCCCATCCCCATCCTCCACCGGTGTCGTCTCTTCCATCACGCTAGCAGTAGCCCGCCCAACTTGCAACCCGACCCTCTCTCCATTCCCATCTCCATCATCACTCCTCCTTACCTTCCTCGCCGTCTTCCTTTCACGGCTTCCTGTCCGTAACTCGTCAGACATCTGTCTCGACATCACCGCCCTCCTTCCCCACGTTCCTTGGCGCTTCGGTTATTCACCGACTCTGCCGGCTCCATCAATCACTCACACAGCTACTCCATACTTAAAAAAAAAAGTACCCTCCTTTGCCTACTCTGTCCTCCCCGCCGACGCCGACGCCCGCAGCAGCAACCCGTCCGCCTTTGTCCGTCCATCAACAGACGAGAACCAGATCTCTGCAGCAAGCAGCACAGAGAGCAATCAATCCCTCACGATATACATACTCAACCCACCCACCCTACTGTCTTGAACTCGGTACCCCCCCCCAATACTATTGCTGATCGCATTCGACTTGCTGCTACCTCCTCTTGCTTGCCATGGAGCAGCAACAGCAGCAGAGCCAGCAGCCGCAGCAAGGCCAGCCGCCCCAGCAACCCCAAGCTGGTGGTGTGCATGGCCCGGCTGGACGTCGCTTGCATATTGCGCATCGTCGGAGTCCTTCAGAGTTGACTCCGTTGATGAGCATGTTTGCCAATCCTGGAAGTAAGTGCCACCATCCATCTCATAGCTTCCTAATGCTTCCCGGTTCTACAATTCGTAACCCTATGAGACACTTAGCACCGCGAAACCCAATTCCCAATTCCCTCCAGCTATCTTCCTCTCCCCTTCGACGGCCAGTGCCACTAACGAGCCATCCCCATGACAGTGGAACAGTTGGCTATCCAGCAACAAATTGAGCTGCTTCAACAACAGCAACAGCAGATCCAAGCTACACAGCAACAATATGTCAACCTGGGGATGATGCCCCCAGGTCAACCCATCCACCCTGGCGGACAATTCAATCCTTTGCAGTCCATGGGAAACCTCCAGCAGCCGGGCTTTCAGTTCCCAAACCAAATGGGACAACAGAACATGGCCCCTCCGAGCCAACCAATGTCACATCGCCGTAATCAGTCGGCATTCCCCAACATGGGCATGGGCCCTCCCCCAGCGCCCTCTTCTGGTGCGTCTGGATCCAACTTCGGAAACTTCGAAGCTCCCGGAGCTGGTGGTGGGCAGCCCCGAGAGAACAATGCTGGCCGTGGAGGTCGTGGCGGCGGCGGCTCCGGCGGTGGCCATCAACGTCGACACTCCCTGGCCCTAGCCGATGCGAAGAAGGCTGCCGAGCTCGCACAGCAGAAGCGAACGACGACCGGTTTCCAGTTCCCCGGACCCAACGCCGACAAGGTCGACGATGAGAACAAGGGCCCATCTCAATCCGGCGCCGATCTTGCCCCGCCAACTGCTGGGAGGGGGGGACGAGGCGGTCACGGCCGCAGCCAGAGTATGGCCGTCAATGGCCGTGGTGGCTCTCGTGGCCCCTTCGGAGGTGATGGAAATGACGCTCCACGCCGAGGCGGCCATGGACGATCCGGCTCCAGAAACTTCGAAGGTAACTGGAGAAATCAGAGCCAGAACCAGGATCAGGGCGGGAACACTGGCTTCCAGCCTGGTCACCGGTCTCAAGGTTCGATGAACCAGTCCGTCTCGAATATTGGTGGCTTCCAGTATAACCCCAACAACCCCCAGCTCATGCAGCTCCCTGGCCAGATGGTAATGCCTGGCATGTATGGACAGCAGCTCAACCCAATGCAGCAGCTCCAAGCTCTTCAGGCTGCGCAGCTCAACGGACAGCAGCTCCAAGGTCTGCAAAGCTCTCAGCATGCTGGGCCAATAGGTGGCCAGCAACAGCAGCAGCAGCGCAAGACCCTTTTCACTCCTTACCTCCCACAGGCCTCGCTCCCCGCCCTCCTTGGGGACGGTCAGCTTGTTTCCGGTATTCTTCGTGTGAACAAGAAGAACCGCAGTGATGCTTATGTTACCACAACCGATGGAGTCCTTGAAGCTGATATCTTCATCTGCGGTAGCAAGGATCGCAACCGTGCTCTGGAGGGAGACCTGGTCGCCATCGAACTCCTCGATGTCGATGAAGTCTGGTCTCAGAAGCGTGAGAAGGAGGAGAAGAAGAAGCGTAAGGACATCACCGATACCCGCTCTGGATCCGTCAACCAGGGCAACCGGGGCTCGGAGAACAACGATGACAACAATGCCGCAGAGGGTGGTATTCGCCGCCGCGGAAGTCTTCGCCAGCGTCCCACGCAGAAGAAGAATGATGATGTGGAAGTTGAAGGACAGTCTCTGCTCCTTGTTGAGGAGGAAGAGATCAGCGATGAGCAGAAGCCCCTTTACGCTGGCCATGTCGTCGCAGTCGTTGAAAGAGTTGCCGGCCAGATGTTCTCTGGTACCCTTGGACTATTGCGCCCCAGTAGCCAGGCAACCAAGGAGAAACAGGAGGCAGAGCGAGCCGCTCGTGACGGTGGTAATAGCCGTCACAATGATTCCCGCCACCAGGAGAAGCCCAAGATCGTGTGGTTCAAGCCAACCGACAAGCGGGTGCCACTCATTGCTATCCCGACCGAACAGGCACCTCGGGATTTCGTAGAGAAACACCAGGATTATGCTGATCGCATTTTCGTGGCATGCATCAAGCGCTGGCCCATCACCTCCCTTCATCCTTTCGGAACCCTTGTGGAACAGCTGGGTCGTATGGGCGACCTCAAGGTCGAGACTGATGCCTTGTTGCGCGACAACAACTTCTCGTCCGACGAGTTCTCCGATGCTGTTCTTCGAAACGTTGGTTTGCAGGATTGGTCTGTTGCAAAGGAGGATGCAGAGGCTATTGCCGCTCGTCGTGACTATCGCGAGGAGGCTACCTTCACCATCGATTATGACGGAGGTGCAGAGCTCGGAAATGCTGTTCATGTCAAGCATCTCGAAGATGGCAAGATCGAAGTTGGTATTCACATTCCTGACGTCACGCACTTCGTGAAGCCCAACTCTCTGGTTGACCGTGAAGCCAAGAAGCGTGGTACCTCAGTTCAGCTGCTCAACAGGTTCTGCGCCTTGTTGCCACCAAAGCTAGCCAACGAGGTTTGCTCGCTCGTTGCTGATCAGGAACGTTTGACCGTCAGTGTAGTCTTCCAGGTCAACGCCCACACCGGTGCGGTTGCCGAGGGCGATAGCTGGGTGGGCCGCTCTATCATCAAGAGCACTGGCAAGGTTTCACTGAAGGATATTGATGATGCTCTTACGGAGCCCTCTGCCTTCCAGAATGAAGCTGTTCCTGCTACTACACTTCAGCTGCTTCACAATGTTGCGAAGAAGTTCCGCGAGCGCCGTCTTACTACCGGCGGTGAACCCGTTGCACCTCTTCGTTTGTTGCAGCAACTGGATGATGAGAACAACCCGGTCCAAGAGAACTTGTTCGACTCAACCGATTCTCTTGAGCTGGTCGAGGAGCTCATGCACAAGGCAAATGCCTATGTAGCCGAGCGCCTTGCCCAGGGCTTGCCTGACAAGGCTCTGCTTCGCCGCCAGGCCCCTCCCAACCCCCGTCGTCTGCAGACCTTTGTTGAGCGCATGACTGCCTTGGGCTATGATATCGATTCCTCAAGCAGCGGTGCTCTGCAGAACAGCCTTTTCAAGGTCGAGGACTCGGATCTCCGCAAGGGTATGGAGACTGTCCTGGTCAAGTCTATGCAGCGAGCGAAATACCTGATCGGTAGCAAGACTCCCAGAGGCCTATGGGCCCACTATGCGCTCAACCTCCCACTATACACCCACTTCACGAGCCCTACCCGCCGATATGCTGATATTATTGTCCACCGTCAGCTCGAGGCCGTGTTGTCTGAAGGCAAGGTCGAATTCACCGACGATCTCGAGAACCTGGTCAAGACTGTTGAGGCTTGCAACACTAAGAAGGAGTCTGCCCAGAACGCCCAGGAACAGAGCATCCACATCGAAGCTTGCCGAACCATGGACAAGAAGCGACAGGAAGCCAATGCTGATCTGATTACTGAGGGAATTGTCCTGTGCGTCTATGAGTCCGCTTTCGACGTTCTTATTCCGGAGTGGGGATTCGAGAAGCGAGTCCACTGCGACCAGCTTCCTCTCAAGAAGGCTGAGTTCAGGAAGGAGAAGCGTGTGCTCGAGTTGTACTGGGAGAAGGGTGTCCCCAGCTCCGCTTATGTGCCTGAAGATGAGCGCCCTAAGGCAGCTGCCTCCCAGAGAATGAACAATGCACTTGCGGCACAGAGGCAAGCCGAAGAGGCCGAGAGAGCCAGGAGGGAGAGGGAGGAGGCTGCTCGCAAGCAGACCGAGACTGGAACGATCTCAACAGACGATGTTGATGCGTTGTTTGATGACGACGATGACAACACGTCCGATGTGACCGAAGCCATGGCCGGTGCCTCGCTTGCTGAGCGGCCCACCCAGAGCGTTCCTGGATCACCTGCACGAACGGCCACCAATGCTGGCGATCTGCACCGTACCCGCTCTGACTCCAAGGTGCCTGTTGGAGATGCTGTCGAGTCCCGCCTGACCAACAAGGACAAGTACCTGCAGCTTTTCACCCTCAGGGAAGAGGGAGGTGACTACATCCAGGATGTCACCGAGATGACCAGAGTGCCCATCATTCTAAAGACTGACTTGAGCAAGAGCCCACCGTATGTTTATACCTTCCATCCCATTGACGCGTTTCACGTTCGATACTGACATTTATTCTATCTAGTTGCCTCACAATCCGCTCTCTCAACCCCTACGCGCTCTAAGCAGTGTCCATCAGATTGTCACAAAAAAGATTGACTGTAAGAGTCGGTGCAAGCGATTAATGCCACAACAAGCAGTTCACCCACCCCTGAGAGGAGGATGCCTCGCCGCGTTGTCGAGAATATAGTGTTTGCCAGATGCGGGCCGCAATATCATGGGTCAAGCCAAGTCGGAGTGTATATTGTTAACAGTAAGGAATGGAATTGTGGAACATGGCGAAGCGACCCAAGTAGCTACAATGATAACCCCAAAGATTTAGTCTGCAATACAATTCTTAATATATTAATCAGACTGATGGACCGTTTCGTGGGTAGCAAGCATCTGTGTGACATGTTCAAAAACCTCCATCCCCTACACAATAATAGTTTTAGTCGTCATTGAGCATAAAGGGTTTCAACTGCGAATGTGTGCTATCTTTATTTGGCAATTACCCTAAGGCTAAGTGACGAACAAGTGTACAGATTGGCCAGGCACCGTTCGCTTGTTCTTGTGGCGGGTTATTGTGCTCACCCCCCTTTTCTTTTAAACTTTTTTTCCCTCCTCGAAGAGACCATATGGCAGGTTGTTTTTTATCAATATTCTGATATGCGTCATAGCTGAGCTCTTCTCCCTCCTTCGTAACGTCGACCAGGCAGCAGACAGCCTATCCAGTGATTCCTTCATCGGTAAGGTAGTCCTGTTCCATATTCCTAATCAATGCCGAGGATATCTACTACAGACCTTCAGGTCGTCTGGACAAGAAGGATCCATTTTACAACCCCAGCTAGAATAATATCACCCCTCACTCAGCTATGATACCGTTTTTCATTAGAGATGCCCTAGAACGGCCGTGCATCGAGGTAGTCTTGAGCTTTGGCCCATGCTGACTTATCGGCAGCAGGTAGCTCGCTGCTTTCCAATGTCTGTACACCTTTGTTGATCGCGTCGATGAAGCCCACGCAAACACGGAAGTCTTCGGTGAGCGCTTCGGCATACGGAACAAAGGTTTTGGGAAATTCTTCCAGCCGAGATCCTCTTGTCTCCTTGGTGTCGCTCGCCTCATCTTCGTCGAAGAAGGTTCGGATGGCAATACCAAGACCGATATCTGGTTCTTTGGAAAATGGGAGCCTGGTCAACTAGATTAGCCATTCTGTAAATATTACGCATAAGCATTTTTTTTATTACCTTTGGCTTATTTGCAAGTAGTCATCACGCTCGCGCTTGCTCTGCCCAAACATGAACATGGATGCAACGATGGCCTCAATAAGATCGCGATCGGCTTCACGAACAGTTGTTGATAGTGAGCGGAATGAAAGAAGGCTCTTGTTCAGTGGTCCGGTGTAGCCATAGAACTGGTGTCGAAGCTTCAGTAACGTCGCGCATTCACTGATCAGGGCAAGACTCGATTTCTCCTCGTCGGTCCCCTTTCTAGGGTGACCAGGCAGAGGCTCACGGTTTCGGCCGTTCAGAAGACCCAATTTGATGAGCTCAAAGGCAAGCAAAGCGGCCTCGTCCAGACCGGCGACTCCCTCACATTCCTCCACGACGTCTTGGACAGCAAGCAGCGTGGTTGCCAACGCGTTCCCCCACGGCGTCAATCTGTGAGAATCGTTTACGTAGCCCCGTAGATGAAGAAAGCGCCAGATTGCCACGGAGGAGACCAATTCGGCGCTGTCAATGCCTCTGATAACCTTCTCTTTAGCTGTAGTCTTGGCGGCAAACTCATCGTTGGCAAGAGCCAGCACTTCCAAAGATACCGGACCAGCGAAATCCTCGGGGAAGCAACTCCGGATATCCTCTTCCTTCACGTCCCAAGACCCAACCTTCTGAGAAGGAGGGGGTTGCAAGGAGCTGTGGTTGAGGGTGTACGAAAATTTGGGATCAAACCACACTCTCATCTTGACAGCCTTGTGGCCAATACCACGGTGGACTCGGGGGATGATCAATCCCAGAGTTTGCTCTTTGATGGGAACAATTTGTGACGTGACGAGCTTCTTGTACTCCTCAGAGGCCACACCATCAAGGGTTGGTTGGACTATGACCTGACCATGTGTTATGCTGTTCAAGGTTCGCGATCCAATCAAACCCGTATTCAAGTAGTGAAAGAGTTCTTCGGGTAGTTGAAGGCCCAGATATTCATGGTTATCGCCGGTCAATCGGTCATACTCATTCACCTTTACCTCGCCGCTCTCGGCGATGTAGATGAAATGATGGACTGCCAATCGTGCCTTGCGGTAGTTATCAAGCCAGTTAGGGTCCTGTGATTGCAGGATATCGTTGAATGAAGCGCATGCATTGGCGACGTTCTTATCAGCCGTCCGTAACATGTTGATCGCCTCCATGATAGTGAATTGGTTTTGATAGATTGATCTATCTTGCAATGGCGGAAAGGGGGAGAGGAATGATGTGCCTGTCATCAGCAGCGCATCGATGAACATGGCTTCGCTAACATTAAGTGTGCGCATTAGCTTCTTCTTGGACACAGCCGTGACGGTCTTTGCCTCCCAATCGAAACTGCGAATAACCGAATCCTTAATGGGGTAAAGGAGCAGTTCTTGAGACCCCATGATTCCTGCGCATTGGTCTGAGTCGATCTTTTCAAAATAAGCAAGCTTAAATGTGCGTCAGTTGAGTAAATGAGATGTTATTACCATTAATATTTGACAAGAACACACCTGAGCACTCGCGTTGTAAGGAGGAACAAGGAAATGCAGGCTCCTCTCTTTAAGAATACCCTGAAGCAAGGGGTATAAATTTTGGACACGGAAAGCACCTAGTAAAGGCATGAAGTGTTAACGAGGCGAGTGCGCGTTGGTGAGGGAATCGGCCATGAGAAAAAGTATACCTGGATTCGCTCCAAAAGCAGTCACTGCCTGTTCAGCCTCTGACTGCGAGTAGAGATCCCATGCCTCGTTCGTCTTCAAGTTGGCCTCCCGACCACGCTTCATGGTTACCTCATCTTGTCCTGTGATGGACTGTCCGTCGAATATGAAGAATGGAATGATGCGATTCTTCTCCCAATTGTCTAGGTCCTCATTGATGTGCGATTGAATGCCAGTCAAGCCACCGAGGGCAGAAAGAAGCGGTTCATGAGCAGGCGGGGTATCGAGGAGGTAGTTGAGATAGTAGGTAGCGTCAACAGCTATAGCACAGTCTTCGAGTTCGGCCAGATTATGATTCCTATTGCAGCAGAACGTCAGCCTTAGCAAGGTCAAGGGGGAACATGTAGTAGACGCACGTTGCCTGGTCATTGATCCAGGCATCCTCAACAAGGACTGTTTCCAACAAAGTTAGCATGAATTCGCAGCAGAAGAAGCTATGAAGACCCAGCGTATGCCAGAGCAATGGAGCCTTGTATCACAGCCCGGCATGTCGTAGAGGATTGTATAAGCCAACAGCTTGCAACCGCCTCAATGCCTATACCTCTAGCGAGGCAAGCTGAAATTGGACAACTATGACATGACCCTCTGAAGGATATGGGTTTCGGGGAATTCTGCCTGCGAACAACAAGCCCCAGGTCCTTTATGGGAAGGCGTAGGGCTGCGACTTGACCGCACTCTGGCCATCATTATCGCAAAGGCCCCATAGCAGCACACAAGGCTCGGAATTACTCACGAGGCATTTCGAACGGCCCTCCTTATACCAGAACGCTTCGTGTACGGTTCGTCGCCGTGGGCGCCAATGAGGGGGGCTGTTGGAGGAATGTAGGAGGGGCAGACGGAGACGAAATGGCGGAAAGTACTGCACGCTGAATTCGACTTGACGGGCTCGAAGATGATCAGGATTGGAGCCTGGGGCTAAATCGCATCGAAACCGGCGTCGCTGGGGAGGATGACGTGGAACAACAAACAAGTAGCACACAAAACAGACAGATGTGTTTAGTTCGAGATGGCCCCGGAGGGATGCGGGAGAACAGGAGCTAACCTGTAGACCTGCCTCAACACTGAAGAGCTCCTGCCGCGTCTGGCAGAAGGGGAAGGATCGCAGCGACCAGAAGAAGAGGCTGCGATGCGTGTATCGAACCGAATCGAAGGAGTGGCGGGATGTTTGTGGGGGTGGGTTTTTTTCGATATTCAGGCACACCTCAAAAGTCACCAAGTGTTGAGGTCGAGCAGGGAAGCAGCTACTGCTGGAGTGGCGGGCGGCAGGTGAGCGAGCTTGTGAAGTAGACGCACGTAAAGTGGTACACTCAAGCTTTCGGGCCTGGGAGCGTGGGCCCTGAAACACCCATAAGAACAGTGCTTATCCAAAGTACCGCCGCCTTCGGTGGTACTTGGGAGCTTACCTAGAAGCAGCTTGTGTCCTGGGGCAGGCAGCACAAGCAACAGCGATTCTAGGAGTACCGAGCAACGAATGCTACCAGGTGGTTTGTCTACACAGAAGGGGTGCTTTTCTTAATTTAATTTGAAAGCTCATATGAGAATCAGATGGTTTCATTTCACCTTTGATTATCTAGCTCACCTTTGTTCATTGGCTTTATACAGCTATCTGGTGCATCAGGTAAGTATCTACATCAGTACCTGGTACTGACCGAACGTTAGTGGGTCTGTACTTCAGACGCAAGACCGCTGCAGTTGACCTTACTCAGCAGTTGCCTGCCCTGTGGATTTACATTAGCACCCCGAACATCACCTTCCAGCGATTGCATTGCCGCTGTGACTGGCGAATTACCGAGTCACACGAACAAGGCATTGAAGTGTTGAACGCATATCACTTTCCACACAGGTGAATTAATGAGGAATTACCTAGATAAAGGTAAACTGGCCCAAACCCTGAGCCGCAATAATGTACATTTGCTGACAAGCATGCATTGAAGTCGTAACTGGTAGAGATATTGGATTTGAAAACTGAGTTTCTATAGAACAGGGTAGCACAACAGAACCAGGCCACGCCCAAGATCATTCCCAAAAAATGCTGAGCACAACCGGCAACGCCACTAGTGCTCACAGAAACCCCATTCCATATTTTTGAAATGCGTATCAGTGTCCTTCAATTTTGCTTTCCGCTCCTCCATCAGCTCCAGCCGAAGCTTCTTTGCGGCTTCAGTGCCAATCGGGAACTCCACATCCCTCTTCACCGACTCCATCAACTCGGGCGGAAGCTTGCCCAGAATCGGCGCCTTGGACAAGTCCCACCATGCCTGCTGCTGCGGAGGAACGTTGGCTGTTGAGAGGACTGGAACCTGCGGGTCTATCAGGAAGAGTGCCAGGATCTTGCGGTGACCGGGCTTTGTCTTATCTGCGAGCTCGAATGGGCTGACGTGGTGCTGGTAGACGTTGGGGAAGAACACCGCCCGGCCTTCGCGGGTGAGCACGCTCCCAATGGTCTGCAGCTTGTGTCCCTCCGCGTCGATGTCGAATAGCTGCTCGATGGGGTGGAACTCGCCCTGGGCGTAGTTTAGCTCCTGGCTGAGCTCCTCCTCATCGGCCTGGGTGCGGAAGTCCAAGTAGCAGTCTGTGATGTTCTCGGTATCGTAGTAATACAGGGCTGTCGCGCAAATGTGCTCGTTGTATTGGCCCTCCACATGCCATGAGCCACCCTTATATTTGGGGTTTTCTGGTGTAAGATGAATATTGGCCAACTTTACGATGACCTGAGCTCGAGTGGCGTTGTCGAAAAAGCCAGTCGATAGGACCTCCTTTGCGTCTACCTGGACGACTTCCTCCATCTCAGAGTCAGCGTCCGGTACGACAAGATCGTGTGTCGAATCCCACCACTGCTCGTTAAGTTCATCGGCGTCCTCTGCGTCTTCATTATCCTCGTAGCCTGGTCTGTTCGTCATCGAGCAATAATCGCCACAGATATCGGGGACTTTGCACTTGTGCTCGATATCCCCGACAACAATACGCTGAGTTTGGAACTCTTCAGGCCACCTCCATACAAGGTCCCAGGCAGGGAGGGACTTTTCAATGAACTGCTCGATCACAGGGTACAATGCCTTGTGCTCGACGGGATGTAAGTTATTGATATAGCTGTCGATGCGAGGCTTATCACCACTCAACTCAACATCGCAAGGGAGCCATTGGAATCGGCGAGATAAAGCATGTGAATCGAGGTAGTTTTCTGTGTCCCATGATGTTCGGGGGACCTCTGGTACTTCTGGCACGGGGACGGTGACACCAGTACCGCAGTACTCAAGACAGTCGCTAAGGGGGATGCGCTTCTCGGGGACCACACGAGAGAGCCCATAGACTAAGGGGCAGAGAGAGGGATGGACCAGGTCCAGAACTTGGTTGTCGCTGCCAGGGTGCCAGTCTTTGAGAGATTCATCAACTTTCTCAAGTGGCGCCACAGCAGCCTTCAATGCTGCGGCCATTTCGTCGGTCATAAGACTGTCCGACTTAATGACACAGGCCGAATAGTCGAATATAGGGACAAGGCCGGTTTCCTCATATAAGTCTGCTTTCTTCAGAAGCTCCTCAATGGCCTAGAGGGGTGTTAGCGCACGTTGTGATATTTTAGACCAAAAGTCACTTACAACATCCGCCATTTGCTCAGTGAAATCTCCATATTTGCGATATTGAGCCCAGGGCATCTTGACCACCTCCTCCTTCCACTTCTTGGCAATTCGCGGATCCCGGACCTTCTTCCACCAGCTGGGTTTGTTGGTGATGTCCTCAATGAACTTCAGCATGCAGACTTCTCGGTTGGTAAGCGTCACAGCCTCCCAATCCTCGTCCTCAAGTCCCAGGAGGAATGGTGCACGCTCTTCAGGGCTTTTAACCTTGTAGATAATGGGGAGTCCGAAGCCAGGAACCATGAGGCGGTCTCTTTTGAGCTGGTGAATTTGTAAGTAATCGCTCGCAGATCTTCGACGTGGCTATGTGGAAGAGTCAATCGACTTACAGGAGGACCGTTGAGTATCCTTTCGACAACATACTCTTCTACGTCGTTCTTATCATGCTCAGAGATGCCGTAGCCATACAGCTCTTTGCATCTGTCACTAGCATCCTCAACATTTGGTGGGGGATCTTGTGAAAACTTGATCCAAGCGCCAAGCTCTCCCTTTTGCTTGGAAGAGAGGTGGACGGACTGGCCAGTCTTGACGCTCTCGTTATCTGAATCGTCCTGGTCTCCGTCTTCCTCCTCATCCTCGTCGTCCTCGTCGTCGTCTTCATCGTCCTCATCTTCGTCATCGTCTTCCTCGTCGTCATCGGAATCGTCATCATCGTCTTCTAACTCGTCGTCGTCGACATCGCCGACTTGGATTTCAAGATCTTCTTCCGAGTTATCATCATCTTCTTCATCCTCATCATCACCGAGTTCGTCGTCGTCGTCGTCGTCATCCTCATCATCATCGTCCAGATGCGCAATGTAAGAACGTTGCTCCAGTCTTCGGCCACTGCGTGTCGTTCCCTCCGCTGAACCGCTGGCGTCGTTCTGGCCTTCACCGTTCACTTTCTTGGCCTTGGGTTTGTCCTTCGCATCACCGGATTTTGGGGCACCCCGCACTGGCTCATTGAGCTCTCCCTGGTCGCTCAGCTCCGAGCCGTCGGTGTAGTCAAAGGAGGGATGGATAATGCCATCCTCGGGCGTAGGCGAGGCGCTTTCCGACCTGGCCATTACTATAAAATTCGCATTCAGAGGCGGGGTGGACAGCAGAAGGGAGTTGCAGACAAATTCACCAAGCTACGGTGGTGGGATGGATGCGCCCCCATTAATATTATTATATGGAAACGAAGGGTAAGCCGACACACGCCGCAGGAAGCGCTAACAATAGCTCGCAACTTTGTGCCTGGGATGAAAATAGAACAGAACACGTTTAAAGCTCATTAGTGGACTTTGGAGGCTGTACTACATGCAGAAGGAAGCCAAATTACTAACATGCCCGCCCAGCTGAAGCTGCTACACTCCAGGGAGATCCCGACGGCAGAGTCTGGCAGCTCTCAAGTATTAGCACGTGAAGAAAAACCAACCCCGCGATTGAGTGAGAGAACCCTTCAACGGTCTCTCACTGCCTGATTCTCACCGCCAAATAAAAGTGGCGACCAGTTGATCAGGCGGGTTTCATTGCGGGAGATCCACCTTTCTTACAATCTAGTAATTGGTGTTGGAGCTGACGGAGACGTCGGGTCTTACTTGTTTGTGGCTTGGTATCACGAAGTGGCCTGGCGGCCAACAGAAAGTCCATTCCTTCGAGCTTTAGAAGATTTTGTGTCCTGAAATGCCCGCCCTGAGGGATTAGGTAGGCTGAGACGAGTTAGCACTTCTCCATAACCTGCATGGTTGGAAATTCATCGGGAAGTTCAAGAATCGGGAGTTCGTCCTTGAATACAACCATTTAGTTAGATGTGACAAGTTGTAGTTGCCATCATTTTGGTGACAACATTTAATGACCGGCAAGATACAATCATTCACGTGAGGACGACGGCCCCTTAATCACGAGCTGACAATTGGGTGATCTACTGCCGTATTCCCTGAGTAAAGAATACTCTTCGTTTCAACATTACGACATGATCATCCCTTCACAATTGACAGCACTCCGTTGGGATAATGCAAGATTTGGGCGGAGAGGGAGGTATTTTGCAGCGTATCTGGCAGGCCACTGGGACAGAAGTGTGCAGTTCGGGGCACCGCCACACGACCTAATCCTGAGATAACTCGGAAACGTGATCGAGATCGACATTGGTCGGGTGAGACGTCTGCTGAATCAAGAATTTCTGTGATTTTATGAACGAGCCCTTGACAAACCCGGCTGCCTGATGATTGTGCTACAAGACAACTCTTTGACGCCACGAGGTAAAATGCCCCATTTTCACAGTCGTGATAGAAATCCGCATTTTCCTCCACAGATTGTTCCGCTTTGCTTTTCCCAATATCCCCCCGAATAAACACACATTTATCGCAGACGGCGGGCTTCACGCTCGGACTCGAGGAGGCAGAGAATGTCGTCTTCGCGGACTGTGGGAGTATCTCCGTTAGCAATTTGAACTTCCAGCTCCCTCACCGCAACTCCTCCGCGTCCATGGAAAGAAACATACCAGGTCCCTTGACGTTACGGATGATGGATCGGGTCTGGTCGTCCATGAACTCGACGCGAACTTGGGTGACACCACCACGGGAGCCTACACGTCGTTAGTGAAAATTATTTCGAGGATGGAGAATTTTGAGATCTCCGTCGTGAGGCGAGCGTCCATACCAGTGCGACCGAGGACGGTCTTCACCTTGACAAGCTTGACAGGGGCCTTGGAGGAATCCATTGTGATTTATTGTTTTGAATCGGTTCCTGTGGTTGAGGATGGAGATGTGCGAAGCGGAGCAGAGTCAAGCAAATCGTAGATCCGGTGTAGTGGGAGAGGAGCGACAACTTTTGTGCTTATCATCAGGGTTTTCGCTGTGCGGTGGGCCGTCTGTGTGCCCTGTGGTGGTGGCTCACGTGATGATAAGCGGTGCCCTCCCAAGTCCTTGTAAGGCGGCCCCACATTGCTGCAAGTTCGTGTCCGTTGCTCTCCATTTCCAAGCCTCTTATCGTGTGTTAGAGATAAGGAACTGACCCGAGACTCGCCCGCTTGCATGAACCATAATGGCATGTACGACTGAGTCTCGATGTTATTTTAGATCAATCAACTTTCCCTTTTGTTTATTTCATAGCTGTTCGATATAACCATGACTGTCACCGCCAATCTTCCCATTATCGACATCTCTGGTGATGAAGCAGAAGTTGCCCGTCAACTAGTTGATGCAGCCGAGGAACATGGCTTCATTTACATCAAGAATACGGGCAAAGATATCCCGGCAGCTGCAATAAGCGAGATTTTTGGTTTGGTATGCCGCTCTTCCCTTGGTGGCAGTTGAAAGTTGAAGAACATAAACTAAACAAACTTCAGTCTACCAAGATCTTTGATTCGCCGTTAGAAGAAAAGCAGAAATGCACAATTCAAACCAACAATCGCGGATGGTCTGGGATGCACTCAGAGACGTTAGATCCTAAGAACCAGCGTGTATGAGCCTTACCATTTCTTCCCTTCGATTTGTACTTGTATTTTTTTCTAGTATTTGACTAACATGCATCATATCTCCAGGTTGGCGACTTCAAAGAGTGAATATGTCTTCTACATAGCATGGCGCCCAAATTCTAATCATGAAAACCATTCCAGGGCCTTTAATTTCGGAGAATTCGTTAACGGGAAGGCTCAACAACCGATGCCACCGGCAATTACATCCGACGAGCCCAAGTTCAGCGCGTTCACAGATTATTGCCACAACCTGTGTCTCAAGCTTCTGTATCTTCTCGGCGTTGGTCTAAACGTAAGTGATTTTGCTAGGCTCCGGTGGGAGTGCTAGCTAAGATTTCATAGGTCGGAGACTTCTTCTCCTCCGCCCACCTCAGGTCAAAGGGTGCCTCTGGCTCCATTTTACGGTTCCTGCGGTACCCTCCCCCAAGCGCTACCAGCCACAATACGGACGACGTCCGTGCTGGCGCTCACTCCGACTATGGCTCCGTGACTCTCTTGTTTCGGCTTAAGGGACAAGCTGGTTTGGAGGTTCTCAAAAAGGATAACACCTGGGCACCTGTTCCAGTGACTCCTTTAGGAACCGAGGACGACCCGAGCCCACCTATTCTTATCAACATTGGGGACTTGTTATCTTACTGGACCAACGGCCTCTTCCGCAGCACCGTTCATCGTGTCACTTTCCCCAGCTCTCAAGAGAGCACTGTAAAGGGTGAAACAACCAGCGAACCGAGATACTCTATCGCATTCTTCTGCCATCCTGTTGGCTCAATGCCCCTGGAGCCAGTTCCTAGCGAAAGGGTGGCCAATTTTGTGCCCTCGCAAGACGATGCCAATGCCAATCCACACGCCAAGAAGCAAGTTCTGACAGCGGATGAGCACTTATTCATGAGGCTGAAGGCCAGTTACGGGGATTTGTACTCGAAAGAAAGTAAATGAGACGCCATGGCTGAGATTTTGTCGGGGACGGGCTGGCTTATGCTACCTGACTACCTAGAAATAAAACATATCCTAGCCTTTACTACACTAGTCCGCAATACCACCGTGTCCAAGGATCGCTAAAGCCATCATAATATTTCTTCGTGATCGTCTCATCTTCAAGGATAGAAACGTACTTGAGAACGTGCCAATCATAAATCCTTATCCAACGGCGCCGGTCGCTGGGAAGCGTTTTCCGACTCTCCTCTATGCGCGAAAGAACACCATCCATCTCTGTGCCGTTCGCTATGCTATCCACCAATATAATGGTTTCTGGTTGTGGTATTTTATAGGGCGTGGTCTCCAGCAGCTCCTGGCTGTCCTTCAACCATCTTTCGATGTCGACAATAACATTCTGAACCCCGTGGTTTTTGAGAAGTCTAGACACCTCCAAGTCGCCACCGTGGAGGGATGGTGCAAGAATAACGGAAGTATTGGAGAATTTGCAGTCTCGAGCGGCATATATGCATAAATCTGTTTCGCTTTGCGTCGGTACAGTTGCAGAAGTCGTATCAAAGGTTGGCTGAAGGCTTTGACTACCAATATTGCCCCCCTCTTTTTCGCCCTCATGTGATCTTGGAGCATTTATGCCTTGTTCTGGGCTCGCGCTAGGATTTTGTTCAACATCTTGCGATGGTGTAGATGAATGCCCATCGATTGCTGACGTCGGTGGGCCTAACTTGTACTCCTCGATAGCCGAAATGTCAAGTCCACGATGTTTCCCCGCGTCCTTGGAGAGAGGATGTATTTCAGGAGATAAAGTGAGATCAATCACTTCTGGTTTATTTATCTCGGTTTCCTGGCTTGAGATGGATATAATTGTCCTAGCCTGTGAGTGGTTGCCGCTGATATCTCCTAAAGGGTTCCTGCTCTGCTGTCCTTTGCCGCCTTGTGATGATGGGTCAATCGAGTCTTCTGCTCCCACTATCGGCTTATGCCTCTTGGGAGGTGAAGGGCGCCCATCTTGGATATTAATATTTTGTGAATGCCTTTTAGTTTGGCTACCTTGTTGATCACTTCGACAGTCTATCGACTCTTGCTTCTGTGACACATTGGTTGTGGTTTGGGTCTCAGATAAATGCTCGCCATTACCCTGCTCATGGCCTCGCAGACTTGAAAAGGACAAGCCCACGCTGTTCTGCTGCTCCGTGACCGCAAAATCTGCTACCCTATTCTTAAATGACAGTTGCGGTGTGGATTGCCTGAGCGACTGAAAAGACTGGCCTTGTGAAGGTCCAGAAGCAGTAGTGGTAGTCTGCTGGCTGACAGCATCCACCGCAATTCCTCGGGGATCAGCGCCCTCCAGCTTTGCGATCCATTCAAGGTTCTCCTGACTATCCGGCAAGTCCGGGGCTGTGGTGCTCTTTAGTGCCATCTCCTGCAGCTCATCGAAAGCAACACAGTCCATCCAATCCCTGTCAAAATGTACCTTTGAGACAGCCGGAAAACGCAAACTCCAAAACCCCGTATTGCCATCTTTGTCGAAATTGAAGCACCTCATATCAAAAACCAAGGGGTTTGTAAAAGCCACCGTGAGCTTCGGGCTAAGCTCGAGACCAGGTTGTATCAGGAGTTCTGTCTGCGTGTTCTCGTTGTGGGGTATTGCCATCGGGTTGCCAAACTGAACCACTGATTTGAGGAGTGTTTCATTGATCTCCACCACCTTCACAACTGTGAATTTAGGCTTATGTGACCACTGCTTTACTTCCTCTCGGTTGGTTAAACAGCCGAGATAAAAGTGTGTCCATTTCAAGTTGACAATCTTGTATTGCTTCGCTTTATTTGGATCGTAACCTGCGCCCACAACGGAGAAGTCTCCAACCTCCCCGAATGTGCCGATATACTCCTTCTTTAATTTTATGCATTGTGGAGCGAAAGTGCTAGAGCCACCGAAGAAGTCAAAATAGGGTATGTCCATCTTCAGCACCAGGCCCTCTTCTTTCCGAGTGATCGTCTTGGCAAATATATTCCTCAGATTAGAGGCAGCCAGGGGGCGGTCAAAGTCAACAAGCTCCCTCGACACAAGCTCGGCATACCCTTGTTGACATTCCACAATAGACGAGAGAAGCTGGAACCTCTCTGAATGGCGGACGTGGAGCAAAGGCCTGTCGTCAATGAGGAGAACATCGTAATAGAGAATCATCAAATGCTCATGCGGTGTAACCCTAAGATTATTAGCATGCATGTGCGCAACCTTCCAGACGAGCGGCATACCTGTCATCGGCATCGGTATCCAAGAAACGTCCCCGCCTTGTGACGTGATTCCGGATTCTGTGGAACGGTAGGATCTTTTTCTCCTGCGCTGTCCGTCAGCAACGATCCCATCTCTCGGCAACACTTGAGCACGTACCAAGTCGCAGTAAACTAATAACTCGCCTTCCAGAATACACGATTTCTGAAACTGGCAGTTTGGTTTCCCAATATTCAGCGAACTTTTAATGACGCTATCTTGTTGTTAGCAAGATTTCTCAACACTAGACGATATACAGATCATACCTGTGCAGCTTCTCGCGATCTTCAGTGCTATCTTTGCCGCTCTTGGAGAATATTTTCAGATTGTCATGTCCTTTGGATAAGTCGATGTGTATTTGGCAATATTCCCCATCTGCTTTGTACTCCACGCTCACTCGCCCATGGCCAAGATCAAGGCAATGCTTGATACTACGGCCCTTGGCCCACGTCTGTCTCCCAATCTTGGTTCCAATCTGAGGCACAAACTTGGATATCAAGTAGTCACCGGTAGTCTTCCTCTCAGTCTGGCGTGAGGGAAAGGTTCCTTTGCAAGATTGCACCAACTCAAGGGCAGCAGAGAAATCTTCCCGAACCTTGAGTGCAAGAGGGAGCCTGGGGTGGCATTCACGAAACACCTGGTTGGATTCAAATATGAGAGGCTCAAAGGTTTTGAGCACCAGCCTCGTAAACCATTTCCCCTCAAGAGGCGTCAAGCGGCCGTATACTTGCTCCAAGTCCCGCTGGTTACGCTGGGTCAATAGGCTGCTGGTAGCCCTGACAGAAGGGGAGCTCCATTTGATACCGGCCGCATAGGAATGAAGCAGCTCGTCTATTTCCTCGACGGTAATCTCGTACCCGCAGGGAACACAATTTGGCTATCCCCAATCAGCAACCCGCATTATACCATTGTGGCAATTCCCTTACAGTTATTGAAAGCACCCTTTCAACACAATCTGCCAGATCCACGTCGTTGCCGCTACTTCTGTACCTCGTGAGCTCAGCCACACGAGACGATCCAAGGCACAAGCCTCGGGCGATAATTTTTTCCAATCTCGTTGCTTGGATACAGTAGACACGGTCTGACCTCATTCCAGGCAGAAGAGTTGACAAAAGAGCGCTGAGACTGGCATCGTGGGCGTTGATACGATCCCGGTGGTGTTGGAACCAACTACGCACAGCAGCCTTGTGGTCTTTTCTTGACAGACATAATGCGTATGCTTCGTCAAGGAGCTCGCATACGATTGAAAACGGGATAGGCATGGTATGAGGCTTGTATGGAATACAGCATCTTCAACATGCTTGACGATTCAATCGTGAATGTGGTACGTATGCATACCTACGAGGCATAAACTTGTTGCTGATCTGTTGGTTTAAAATAATGCAGCAAAACCACCGTAAAGTTCATTCGTCGCATAACAGAGCGAGCGCTCCTGCCTGGCTAGATGGCTTCAGAACAACGCACTTGGCCATAAGTCGCCTCTCTGACTTTGCTGCCTGTCTGTTGCTCACGTCCTCCTCTCGGGTCCACCGAGGGAGCAGTGACCATTTTGAGGGTCCTGGTGGAGTCTGTAGCTCAGTTTGGCCGCCTCATTTGATGCCTTGTCCAGCTACCCTGGACAGTCTGCATGCACATCTTACCTGCACCCGGCACGTGACAAATTGCATGTGGGAGGCAAATCAGCGAATCCTGGACGGACTAGCGAAATTGGTTTCATGTGCTGGTCCACGCCGCCCCGTAATAGATGCTGCAAGGAACAGCCCCAACCAGCCAATCAATGTGCCGTCGAAGACAAGCTACGACCGTTCGGTGTGCGGGTCGCTCAACTCTCCGCACGCACTCAAAGCTGTTGCTGGGTCGCCAGGGCTGCCCCTGAATTAAGCACATAGTGTTGGGAGTCATTGACACAAGCGCACAACCACCCGGTCCACCGACAGAAGCCGTGGTGAGCTTGCTTGCGCATGCACTTGGTGATCCCTCGCGGAACTAGAGCTGCGCTGGGGCGGCGTACGTGCGTTCTTCGCCCGTCTCCAGTTTATACTGCTGATTGCGGGAGGCCTGGAGACGGTAATGTAAACAAAACAAACAATCCCCAACGGCTGCTGTTGTCAGGCGATTTCTCCAACTAATTCCCGAGACATTCCCCAGCCGTTCGCTTTCCATCATTTCTATAACCATCAATCGCTGCTGCATTGACTTCTCCTCCGTCACCCATCACCATTCGCTCATTGTCATCACTTTCAGCGCATAAGCTCTTGTAAATTACTGGCCGGGCACCTACTATCATTTACCCACAGGCCACTCAGGACCCTGTCACAGCATCCCTTGACCCCCGCCCAGCGTCCTCGCCCCTGGTTAAGTAGTCGATTCTTCCCAGCAGTCTAATAACGCTGCTAAATCTGAATCACAGCCAGCGCCGCCACCCGCTAACTAGGTACTGCCGCAGAGGAAGATCCTCTCAATCTCGCGGGCTCCTCTCCTGAGCTCCTGGCCACGGTCATTATTATTGTTTTGGTTACAACGCCGGGCTGGCAGCGATGACAGCAACTGCCCTGATTGCTTAATTGCCCATGCTGCTCTATGAATCCATTCCTTTTCACGATTTGCACCGTTGGACAATCTCGCTCTTTCCTTATCAATGAATATCACAACCTAAAGCAGGCCCACTCAAGAGCACTCATAGCCAGGACCAGTGCCGCCACCGCCCGTCTCCGGCGCACCAGGGCCGAGAGTGCTTCTTCTATCACTCCTTTACCGAAGAAACGTCGTCGATACCACGGCCGTTGTCACTCCTTTCAACGACTTCTCTGGCGGCGCCTCGACATGGCTTCCGAACAGCATATTCGCCGTCGCTCCTCGGTCGCGGATCGAACCCAGGCCGCATCCATCGCCGCCGCGGCAACAACCGCCTCAACGTTCGCTGCTCACCCCAAGATTTCGAGGGATGATGGCGATCTAGACAGCGATGCAGAGTCGCCCAATTCCATGCCGCCGCCACCCCCTCCGGCCCACGATGTTCTAGCTACCCGCTCAGCACGAGCGACGTCTTTCGCTTCCAGAAATGCAAACCGACTCTCTTTGACGCTCCCAATTGCACACCCTTCGAGCGATCCTTCTAGGCCAACCCCGGCCTTAGCCAGCAACGCTTCCATTCCACCTACACCACTGGGCACACCTGCTCCTGCCACACCTGCCAGCGCCAACGATTTTATAATAGCAGTCGCTGCCCAAGAGCGCAGGGTTCTTGAGCTCAAGGAGGAATTGGCTCGCGCTGAGTCGGATCTGGCTCTGCTCAAGAAACAATGGGCCTCCCAGGAGTCGCACAGTCGGAAAGCCGATTCGAAAAGAGGTATCCATGCGAGGCCTGCTCCAGCCACTCCTGTTCTGGACGATGAGGCAAGCGGGCCTCGGACCAGTATGGAATCGGATCTCAGAAGGTCTATGCTTCTGCAGACCCAGAATACCCCTGGTTCTAACCGTCGTCGCGTACTTCGGGGTGGTCATGCGAGAACGCTCTCGCTTCTGTCGCCATTGAAGACGGATGCAGGCCTTGGTCTCCATGAAGAGCCAGACCAGGATGGGTTTCGTCAGCCTTTTCGGTTTCCCCCTCCTGAGAGGATGGTGGCCCAGCCGCCCGTCACCCCCAATCTCTCGAAGCGCTCCTCCTGGCAGCCACAGACCCAACTCAGCCAGACAAATGTTCCTGGTCTGGTCGAGGATTTCAGGCTGGGCCTCAAGGCCTTCGTTGAGGATATCCGTCAAATCACAGTTGGCGACGAACCGATCACTGGTCAGTCATCACGTTACAACGTCGTCAGTCCCGCCAAAGCCAGCCCCAGTGGCCATGACACTATTCGCGCAAGCAATTCGTCTAGGGCTAAGGTTGATAATCTTTTTGATTCACCGACACCTTCAACCAAGAGCGCTGCTGCCGTCACCAAGTCTGGTGAGGCTACTCCTGAAAAGGCTCCTAGCAGAAGAAACAAACATTTTTCGTGGACTCCATTGAGCTTTGACTCCTTGGACGATAATGCATGGACAAGCTGGGAATCGCCACCAGCTTCTGTCAAGTCAACGCGCTGGAGTGGATCCACCATTAATAGTAGCCGTACGGATGATTCTGAGGCACCTGAGATGAGTGAAGAAGATGGTTTGGAATCGTAAGTCTGATTAGCAACAATACGTATATGAAGCAGCATACTAACAGTTGGGATACAGCAAGGTCAGAACCCCAGGCGCCGACGCTACTGCCTTCAATCCCAAGCTCGGAGAACTTCTCCCAAATGTCGTCAACAAGCTCTCACCCAGCAATATCAAGCGCACTGCGAATCAACTGATGGATGAGTGGGAGAGATCACTTGTCGAGCCCTCTCCCGACAAGGAGAACAACGTTTAAAATTATCACGCCGTACATATCGATGAGAGTACATATGCTTGTCACGTCTTTTACTGGATTAGGTGACATTCTGTGAAAACCCATCTAGTACCAAATTTCTGCTGTATTTCCCACTTGGCGCGGCAGGGCTTACGTTGCGAAACATGATCTGAGCAAGCGATGATGAGGCGATTGTAACATCAGTGTCGATTGGATCTCGATTTTTTTGATTGGTTTTGTTGCTTTCTTTTTTCTTTGTCGGGATCATGATATAATGAATGAGACTATAACGACCAACGGGATTCACGCTCGGGCTCGCTTTGACTTTCAGACTATAGCTGTAATGAAAATATATCGCTTTCTTTTAATTTTCCTCCAAAGAGGTGTGATCCGTTCGCAATCGCAAATAAATGGCCAGCGACAGTCTACGTGAGACATTCGACGGGATTTCCGGGGATTTGGCTTATGAGTTGGCGATGGGGCTACACTTGTTAATAGTCCGACTCCGATGGTCAATTTAGATCCTCGGATGCGAGTGCGAACTAACCCCACATTTCTCCTTGACCCAGGGAGGGCCGTTTCAACTCATCCAGCCCTCAGTCTAATGACTATCAAGCGGTGTTCGCTTCCGATAGAGCTTCCCGGGTAATCGAGGCTCGGTTTAAATTTGATGAGTTATTGAGTAAGAACATTCGGCGACCTGGAATTGATATTCCCTTGGGCGGGTTTGTGGAAGCAGACGGACCAATAGGTGTGGTGGTGATGGCACACTCTTCGCTTTCGGATATGCAAATGGCTTGCGGTGGCGCACCTCACAGCATGGGATCGACTGAAGGAGTTTACTGGCGTGCGGCTGATATTTCTATATAAGGCGGGAGACGGTCCTTTGGTTCCTTGGTAATCAATAGCACCTAGATCAGCGAGAATCCAGTTGGCCTATTACAACTTACTTACGCTTACGCCTATCCCACCTACGCAGGATACATACACCTGCGAGATTGAAAATCGTGAAGAATACTTTCCGGGGCATACTCCGTCGCTTGCCATCCCAAAGCTATCGGAGTGGGGATTGTGGCACTGTGGGAAAGATCTATTCAGTGTCGAACGGCTCGCATCCTCGTTTGATCAAGCACCAACATACGTATATATCCCCCGCGACAGTGTACGACCCGAAAATGGTGGTGGAATTCAAACCCAAGCTGGGCCTCACGCCCGGCGCCCGGGATTATGACAACCCGTCCGCACTCTTTGTACGTGCTGTTCTCTCAGAAACCCTTGTGGGTATAGCGACTAACACCCGAGATTTAGTTCATTCTCCTCGACACGCTCAAGATCCGGACAAGAATCCTCCTGGGTGCTCTCATCCAGTTATTACTCTGCTCCGTCTTACCCATGAGGTTGGCTATAGCCCCGGCTTGCTTGATGTTCTTCCACTCCTTCATCACCACCATCGTCCAAGCCAGATCTCCCAAGTCGAGCCACTTCCAGCGCGATGTGGTGTTTGGAAGAGCTACATCCCAGCTCCCATCTGGGGACGGGTCATACGGAACCCAGCCAGCCAAGGACTCCGTAGTTTTCTTCAACTTGGGTATCCAGTATAACCACCCACTAGGGGTCCTCTCCAACGGCGCATACGAGGTCTCGCGATACTACTTGAAGATGGAGAAGGATCTCCTCGCTAGGCGAGAGGAGCTTGGCCTTCTCAGTATCTCCAAGTGGCATGCCTCCGAGCGCGAGTCCAACAACACCCTCATCATCACGTTCTACTTCAAGGACGTCGAGAGCGTCCACAAGTTCGCGCACGAGGAGCTCCACCGCAAGGCAACAGACTTCTACCACAGGGCCAAGTTTGAGCACATCGGTGTATTTCACGAGACGTTGATCGTGCCTGCTAAGAACTATGAGACGGTTTATGTGAACTGCAGGCCGGTTCTTATGGGGACCAGTGCGGTGAAGTTGGATGGTGAGAAGGGTAGTGGAGGATCGTGGGCGACGCCGCTTGTCAACGCTGATCATCCGAATCTCAAGACTCAATATGCTAGACTAAGCCGGCATGAGAATGGGGTATCAAAGGAGTGACTGTTAAGTTGGGCTCGGTATGATTCGTGGATTGTGCTTTGTGATGGCATGTCTGGGAGAGGGTCTCGCGATGGCAACGACGGGTTAGCTGGCTGACGAGTCAAAAGCAGTAGGGTGGTGTTTTGGTGTTATAAGTCATTAATATTGTATCTACCAAGAATGTAAACGTTGCGATTTAGTCTATTATTGAGCCAGGTTTCGGGCAGCGTGCACTTTGTGATGGAATGGTAGATACAGACCAAAGCTCTTCAACATCTTGCGTTTGCATCAGGCCAGATGAATGATAGCACGTATTGGCACAGCCAGACAAGAGTCTTCTATCTGAAAAGAATGCCGCTTATCCATTCCCAGAAGTACTAATATGAAACTCATATTTCGGTAAATGGATCCAAATGCCTATCCAATTACGAAGATCTGTGGGCATCGTAGTAATCTCATACGTGATCCTGGATTACGAGCTGAGGGATATTACTCCTCTGCCAGCACAGCCTCAAAATGCAATTAAAGCGATTCTCTTCTTCCTGTCGTGCCTCTATTGAACCTTCCTGGAATGTGAAGGCGCCAAGTGCCAAGTAGCGGTGGAAGTCTCGCTTGGCGGTTATATCGGCTGGCTGAGAGATGGCTTGGTCAGTTCGTATCGGCAGGACACGAAGATCTTTGATCACTAGGCTCTTTTGCCCCCCGGATAATACTGATCTGACTATTCTCGGCTTTTCGAAACAGAGATAGTGAGGTGAAGTCGATTTTGGCTCAACAATGCAATTTTTTCAATGGAATGGGATGTCTTGTTTTTACCCGAGTTCATGAGTCATGATCACTACGGTCGTAGATCGCCTGCTACAGCGACGACCCTGGGAGGGAATGCAGGTAGCTAAACAACCATGTGAAAGAGAGAGGAGTTTTTACTCTCTTGCCGTCATACAATATGCAATAAAAGGACTGGGAGCGCTGGTAGTGCATTGGCGCTGCGCAATGACGCTCTCTGTGTTCGCATGCTGTCGCACCCAAGCCGAGCACACACGAGTAAGACGAGCCGCGATCAGGGGCAGGTCTTGGATTTAACTTTGACCCGTGACGCCTGTCTGTCTCCCTAGTTCCAGCCATCATGGAACTTGGCTTGGTCTTAGTACGTCACGGTTGGCACCAGCGAGTCCCCCACCAATAATTCTGTCTCGCCTTCTGGAACAGGTGTGCACTACCAAAGGGGTGGCTGCTGGTGCAGGTTTTAAGCTTAGATTTCGCACAACAACCGCCGCTCGTAATCTGAGAGCCGATGCAATATTTACGAAGCCATCAGCGAAGACACGTAAAAACATACGAGCATTGAGCATGTCGGAGGCCTGGCGCTCGCGTGTGGTGGTTGCCCTCGCTCTTGGCTGGTGACGAAGTCCGCATAGCGCACCTTGGCGCCTGTAGCAATCGACACACACGCGGCAGGCCATTGGGTCGATAAATTGGAATTGCCAAACGACAAGCTTTTTAAACACGGAGGGCAGCACAGCCTCAGAAAGCGGGCTGCGCTACGGCCATGCGTCCATCGAATGGGGCCCAGCGGATCCGGGCCGTGTCATTGGCTGGCGGGCTGCATTGTCTGCCCCTGGCTGGCAGGTAAAATCACCATCCAACAGGGGAAACGCGCGCGCTCGTTTTGGTGCCGCCTCCCGTGATATCATGCTACCTGCTATGCCCCCGTTGGCCCAACCAGCGGGCAGGTAGCGGTACAAGCTGGCTGCATTGCACAACCGCCATGGGAATCGCTACACCGTTTTGGCCACCACCACTAAGCCAGTGGACATGGCCCACTCCTATTCGGCAGCACCCCCCCAATAATAGGTCCTGCAGGCGGCATCCCATGGCCCATCCCATGGCTCTTTGTCCCTGACTCCATCCAGAATCTACTCTCCATCTCCTTCCCACCCAATCTTGCTCTCCCAAGTCGAGTTTCACCCTTCGACTCTGCAGCATCCTCCTCCTCCAGGAAAGCCGGACCACGATTAGCTGTTCACAGGTGAACAGGGATTCCTTCATTTTCACCTCGCCCAAGTCGCTCCCTCAGACCATTCATCCTGATCACACTGCCAACAACGCGCTCGTTTCCTAAGATCCACCGCTCAACCGTCGCTCCCGAGTAACCTCAGTTTCACCTCGATAGTTCTATGGCGGAAGCTTAATATTCTCATTGAAGAGCGCATTGCCTCCGCATAATCTGGTCCGGCACGCTCGCTTTACGACGTCCATCTATAATTACGAGACATCTTATTCACCTCATCGCATCACAATCAACATGTTGCTCCGTGGAGCATTCGCCGCCTTGGGCCTCATGGCCAGCGCCAGCAGGGCCCTTGAAATCACTGTCACCGACGATTGTGAGTCTAGTGCCGCCATGTATCGCCCACAGCCCGTATACTAACCCCAATGTAGCCTCTATTAAGAAAGCCGCCGACACCGTTGCATACGGCCTGGTAAAGTTCTATACTGGTAACAACACCGGTGACGTTCCGGGCAATTTGCCTGACCCATACTACTGTCAGTTATGTCCCATGGAATGGAGGCTGTAGTCGTCGCTAACTTTTTCACAGGGTGGCAGTGTGGCGCCATGTTTGGCACTCTGGTCGATTATTGGCATTACACCGGAGACGATCAGTACAACGCTATCACATTACAAGCCATGGTTCACCAGGCCGGTGACGACGAGGATTTCATGCCAAAGAATCAGACAATGACGCTGGGAAACGATGACCAGGGTTTCTGGGCTTTGGCTGCTATGAGTGCTGCGGAACACACTTTCCCCGACCCCCCTGCAGACCAGCCTCAGTGGGTTGCAATCGTGCAGGCCGTGTTCAACGAGTTTGTGAGCCGTTGGGATACGGCGCATTGTGACGGTGGTCTCCGATGGCAGATTTTCAACTTCAACGCTGGTTGGAACTACAAGAACTCGATTTCCAATGGCTGCTTCTTTAACCTCGCTGCCCGCCTGGCCCGTTACACCGGCAATGATAGCTACGCAGAGTGGGCCGAGAAGGTTTGGGATTGGGAAACGTCAATCGGACTGATCAATCTTACCAGCTACGCAGTTCATGATGGCGTGACGATCAAGGACGGCGCCAAGTGCCAGGATGACATGGATAAAACCGAATGGACATACAACTCCGGCATCTTCCTTCATGGATCGGCTGTCATGTACGACGTTACCAAGGACGCAAAGTGGAAGACCCATGTCGATGGACTCATCAAGCACGGAATTGAAAAATTCACTGTGGATGGCAACAATATTGCTTACGAGCAGCTCTGCGAGCCTCATGGGACTTGCGACGACGATCAGCGTTCATTCAAGGGATACTGGCTGCGCTGGCTTTCAGCTACCATTACGCTGATTCCAGATGTCAAGGATACTATCTGGTCTCTCATGACGACCAGCGCTCAGGCCGCCGCCTCGGTCTGCATCGGATCTCCTACAGCGGCCATTTCTGGCCACCCGCCTTTCAAGGGAATGGCTGGTACTGCCTGCGGCTTCAAGTGGAACCCAGCCAAGACTTTTGACGGTTCCTTTGGTGTTGGTGAGCAGATGAGTGCATTGTCTGCGCTCATTTACACTCTTGTAGATGACGCAGCTGCTCCAGTGACCAACACGACAGGTGGCACGTCTACTGGAAACCCTGGAGCCGGTAGTAAATCGGATTCAGAAAAGATCCGAGTCTTTGACCCAATCACCACTGCCGACCGTGCAGGAGCTGGTATTCTAACCACTCTTATTATCGGCGGTGTCATTGGTGGTTGTGCTTTCGTCAGTTTGTAGGGGAAGTATGGGATATTGAACCAAATGTTTATAGGCAAAGGGGGCATTTTACATACCAAGCTCTCCAAGGCGTTTGAGGCGTTGACGCCATTAGATTCAGCACCATATTCACATACATTCTACTACTCATGCTAGCAGGCATACTTCAGGGGATATTGGCTGGATCAACTGGGGAGAAATCACACTTGTTTGTTTGTTTGTTTTATTTCTCTGCATATTTCCTCCTGGCTCGATTCCAATGTCGTCCTTTTTATTCGGTTTGTTTTTGTTTACTACACTAGAAGGAAATAGTATATGCCACTACAGGTTCGGAATTCATATGTCACGAAAGATAGCAAAAAAATCTCATGTCTGAAGGCCTTTTCTTCGCAAGAAGCTTCCGCCGGTGAAACGCCTCCCGCCCTCCACTGCAAGGTACGCTGATTCGCTCGTGGCACTAGAAGCGGGAGGTTACACCGTTACCAAACAGATGAAATCCCGCCCCTCCTCCCCCTCCAGGTTCATGTAGCTCGGGAATCCTGACACCGAAGTACAGAGCAGATGCACAGAAGATGGAGGCGAGTCTTGATGCCCACCCCCACCCGCCTCCACGTCATTTCCCCTCGTTTGTCGTTCGACAAGAGGTCGGGGTAAATTGAAGGAATCCGAGCAGGTCTCACTCACATCCTCCATAGCCTTTGTCGAGCCATTACATTACAATTGAAGGAGTTCCAGATTCTAGCTACCTTATCCGCCATGTCGTCCAAGCACTTTGTGAATGACCCGACGAAGCTGGTCAACGCCGCGCTGCGCAGCCTGACGCTCACCAACCCAAACGTCGCCCTGGACGCGGAGAACAAGATCGTCTACCGCCGGCCGTCCGATGCGCCCGCCCAGGTGTCCATCGTCTCGGGCGGCGGGTCAGGCCACGAGCCGTCGTTTGCTGCCATGGTCGGCCCCGGGCTGCTCTCCGGCGCGGTGGCGGGGACCATCTTCGCCAGTCCGTCGGCGGAGCAGGTGCGGACGGGGATCGCGACGAGGGTCGACAGGGAGAAGGGGGTGCTGGTCGTGGTGATGAACTACACGGGCGACGTGCTCAGCTTCGGCATGGCCGTCGAGAAGGCCAAGGCGGCTGGCACGGACGTGCAGATGGTCGTGGTGGGGGACGACGTCGGCGTGGGCAGGGTGAAAGGGGGGAAGGTCGGGCGGCGCGGCATCGCGGGGACGGTACTCGTGCTGAAGATCGCGGGAGCCCTGGCGGCGAGTGGTCGGTCTCTGGAGGAGGTGGCCAAGGTGGCCAGGCTGACTGCCGATAACCTGGTGAGCGTGGGCGCGAGCCTGGAGCACGTACACGTCCCCGGGCGGGCTGTGAGCCAGGAGGACTCTCTGAAGGCGGGCGAGGTTGAGATCGGCATGGGGATTCACAACGAGGTGGGCTCAAGCCGTGCCGAGCTGGATCTACCCGAGCTTGTGGGAAGGATGCTTGCTCAGCTGCTGGACCAGAATGATAAAGACCGGGCATTTGTGAACGTCAACTCGAACGAGGTTGTGTTGCTGGTGAACAACTTGGGCGGGGTCAGCGCCCTGGAACTGGGCGCCATCACCGATGAGGTTGTGACGCAGCTGAGCAAGTCATACAACATCCAGCCCGTTCGTATCTTGAGCGGTACTTACATGACCAGTCTCAACGGGTTGGGCTTCAGCATCACCCTGTTGAACGTGGTCAACACTGATATCGGCGGGCCGGGCATGATTGAGCTCCTAGATGCCCCGAGCGAGGTCACAGGATGGGCAGCACCCATCCAAAAGACCACATGGGAGGCCAAGAATACAGCTGTTAGGACTGACGCAGTAAAGGAGAACCAGGAGATCAAGCCAAGTGGTCTCACGGTGGATGTTTCTGGTGCCTCCACGGCTCTGACGACTGGACTTAAGAAGGTCATTGCAGCCGAGCCGGAAATCACCAGATACGACACCGTGGTTGGAGACGGCGACTGTGGCATTGGGCTGAAGAGGGGAGCCGAAGGTGAGTGCTTAACCAGAACACAAAGTATCTAGATCGCACTATTCTAACATCATCCAAAAACAGCCATCCTGAAGCACCTCGAACAAAAGCCCCTGACAGGAGACATCGTGGTTGACTTGGCCTCTATCGTCCCCGTCGTTGAAAATAACATGGACGGCACTTCAGGAGCGCTTTACGCCATCTTCCTCAACGCACTAGTTCACGCTCTCCGCGGTCAAGGATCGGGTCAAGCAACGCCAAAGGTGTGGGCGGCCGCTCTCAAGCAGACCAACGATGCTCTATCTAGGTACACCCCAGCGCGGCCGGGCGACCGAACCCTCGTCGACGCCCTCTACCCATTCGTGGATGTTCTTGAGCAGAGCGGAGATGTGAAGAAGGCCGCCGACGCCGCACAAAAGGCTGCCGAGGACACCAAGGGGATGCAGGCCAGCTTGGGAAGGTCGGTCTATGTTGGTGGGAGTGGCTATGAGGAGGTGCCCGATCCCGGTGCCTGGGGGCTCGCAACCTTCTTCTTGGGTCTGGCAGGACAATAGATTTCTCTGGACGATGACCAGCACGTAAATCAATAGCATGATAATAATAAAAAGGCACTTGGGGGGGCTACAAGACCATCACTGACGCACACGATCACGTAGACGAACCACTAAAGAAAGTAGACAGCAAAATCAGAAAGTTTCATAACGCCTGGGTGTACAAACGCCAAATCTCGGTTTGTTTTTCTAATCATCAATATACCCCCTCCACCCCATTTCACTGCACGAAGGATTATTTCTCTAGCTCAGAAGCACCAGGATAACACTATCGCCTCTCAGAAACCTAAAGAGAGCTTATGTTAGCAAATTGATCAATGATAGGACACAGCCCGCTACGAAAGAGAGCTAGGTTGTGCACAGGAGAGAAGGAAAAGGCACAACGTACATCTTGCTAATGAATCGGTCCTTGTTCACCGGTCGCCCCTTCTTCCCATCTGCCAGTCGTGGTGTTTCTGTCCACATCTCCTTTACATTCTCGAGGACCATGTTGCAGTGGCGATCGAACGCCTTGACGCGAGCGAGCAGCTTGCGGTTGTTTCGGATCGAGATCAGGACCTGGTTGTGCGAGCGGACGGCGGACTGGAGGATGGACAGTGGTCCGGCGGAGAACTCGTGCTCTTCGCGCTGCGCGATCTCGTACTCACTAAGCAAAAGGCGCGCAAGCGGTCAGTTTCCTGTGTCATGATGTATCGGGGGCAGAGATGAGGAGTGGCGGTAAGGTTGTCGCGGGGGGGACATACGTTAGCTCTGAGCGCGGCTTGGTAAGAAGCTCTCTGGAGAGATTGTTAGCATTCTGCGGTTGGAATGGGGATAATTGGGGCGCTATACTGAATCTTAGGGTCGGACATTGTGTGCGAGAGATCTCAATGTGCGACTATTCGTTGAGGTCGAGATGGTTCTGGGATGAGCACGCGCAAGGCTCCAGCGAACGAAGCTCGAAAAGTTCAAGATGTTGGAGGAGCATGTTGTTGATTGGTTGGAGCATATCTCTTAGTGGGGCACACTGGTGGACAGAAAAGATGAGCAGCATCAAATACACCTGAGCTTGGCAAGAACAAGTAGATGAGGGAAGGAAGCCAAAATTAAGTCATAGGCTGAATAAATGCATAACCCAAATTGAGTCGCTACGTTGAAGATTTTCTAGTTTAATTGATATGATCTTTAAGAGCATATCCAGATAACCACCAGTGCAAGTTCGCATCAACTATTTTCGTCAGGCCTACGCCATTCCCAACTGGGAAACATACTGGGTATCCTCGGGATAGAATTTCAATGGAAAACCATTCCCGCCGCCTGCAACGCTTGCTTCCTCGGCACAGATAAAGCAACAACCTCCAGCTCCCTGCCCATGGTTGATGCGCTCCTGGTCACACTAAGCGCATTGAGTATTGGTTTCTAATGTTCGCCCGGTCTATCACCGCACGAGCTGGCGTGGCCGCCAACGCTGCAAGCCGTCGAAGCATCATCATGGCCCGACAGCCTGGCTTCTCACTAGGCGCTCGTGCCGTAAGAGGCCCTTTGGTTCACTCAGCCTTGAGGAACTTGAATTGGAGGAGCTAATCTCTTGATAGGTTTCCACCGAGGCCACCCAGGTCAAGGAACTACCAGGCGACGAGCCCTACGATGTCGTCTTCGAGAGCAAATATGGTCTGCGAACCATCCTGCTCAACCGACCGAAAAAGCTCAACTCGCTGAATGGGTCAATGATCCGCAAAATCGTACCTCGGATGATTGAATGGGAGAAGTCGGATCTCGCCAACGTCATTGTTATGAAGGGTGCGGGGGAGAAGGCCCTTTGCGCTGGAGGGGACGTTGCCGAGTTGGCCAGGTTAAACCAAAGCTCACCAGAAGGATGGAAGGAATCGGCCGACTACTTCGCTCTCGAATACAAGCTCGATCACTACATCGCCACATACACGAAGCCCTACATCGCCTTCATGGATGGTATCACAATGGGTGGAGGGGTTGGCCTCAGCGTCCACGCTCCATTCCGGATAGCTACCGAAAAGACTGTCTTCGCGATGCCCGAGACTACAATCGGTTTCTTCCCAGATGTCGGAGCGTCCTTCTTCCTCCCCCGGATGAACGGATCTGTCGGCACTTACCTGGCACTGACCAGTGAGCGTCTCACCGGCCCCAATGTCTTCTACTCTGGTATCGCCACCCACTATCTGCACTCCACCAGCCTTCCCGATCTCGAGGGTCGTCTGGCCGAACTGAGGTTCAGGGACTCCGACACACTCGGCGACAGACTGAAATCGATCAACCAGACGCTGGAGGAATTTTCCACTGGCCTACCTTATGACCAACCCATACAGCTGAAAGGCGAACTTCGCAACGCCATTGACCGCTGCTTCAGCAAGAACAACATCACTGACATCATCCAAGCCCTACAGCAGGAGAAGGGTCCAACCGAGGAATGGGCTCAGAAAACCTTGGAGACCTTGAAGAAACGCTCTCCTACGGCGGTCCATGTGGCCCTCAGGCAGATGCGCATTGGTGGTCAATGGGATATCGCCAAGACATTCCAGAACGAGCACGAGATTGCCACCAAGTTCATGAAGCACCCTGATTTCACAGAGGGCGTCACAGCCCTTTTGGTACGGAAGGAGACCCCCAAGTGGTCGCCTGAATCCCTTGAGGCAATCCCAGCCAACCAGAACGTGGCTAAGCCATTCTTGACGTTCGACGCCCCTGAAAAGCTGGAGCTGTTCACCGACAGGACCTTCTCAGAGTACCCTCACCGCTCGCTCGGAATCCCTTCCGAGGCCGAGATCGAGGAACTGGTATCCTCAAATAAGACCTTGAGTCGCTCAGAGCTGGCCGCGCAGGTCATTTCTAGCCGAAACGGCCGCCAGGGCGTGGAGAAAATTGTCAACGAGATTATTCACCGGAAGACCAGAGTCAACGACGAAGGCAATTTAGTCTGGATCCGCGACGAGTCGGCTTCCAGCAAGCTGTAGACTTAATCACGGCTCATGAATTTAAGACAATATATTTCAAATTTTGGAGGGTGTAAGATAATTGAAAAATAAACATTTTTATTCCATTTCATTGGCGTGGACGTGATAAAACGCATTGATTCAAAGACTATGAAGATGAGTAAAAATGAATGATGCACCGTGCAGCTCTAGGTAGTGTTGGAGGGTGTCTCGCATGAAGGTGGGTGTTGCGCAAGGGGCGGTGGGGTTGGGTCGTGAATCCAACGTTGACCGATTACAATGAGAATCAAATCCATCTATTGTGGCGCAAAATCCATCAAAAATGGTCCAGAAATGGCCTCATTCTGGACCTGGGCGATCGAGCCAATTAAATGCGACCGGAATGGAGGGGCAGGATCATGTGTGCGCCGGGAAGTAGTGTGTGTGTGAAGGGGGGGGGTCGAGCGTGATGATGGGAGTTTATGGGGACGAGGTTGCCTGCTGGGGCCTCACCGATGGGGCAAGTATAAAAGGGGACGGACCGCCCGCCCTGGAGGAAAGGGACGCAAAGCTGCTGGGCAAATTGTTCTCGGTTCTCTGCTCTGACCGACTTGCCTTCCAAGCTGCCGGAGCTGTGTGGGCCAAAGTCCGAAAGCTGCGAGCAACAGGACTGATATCTTGCCTGACTCTTGTAAAACAGAATTACAGCGGGGCCGAGCCCGGAGCCGGGGTCAAGCTGCAGATTGTGGTGGATCCCGCCGACCGCTCACCCGTCACCAAACACTGGCCGCTGATTGGGCGCCGCCTCCCACCATCGAACGCACATCAGCACCTACCTACCGGGTATCCACCCGTATCAAACGCGCGGGTCACCGCTGTGCATATCGCGACAGACCTCCATTGTGGCACATCCCTACACTCTGCTTGACGCTGCTTGGTTTTGTTTTCCCAGCATACTTTCCCTTTGTCGTGGATTTGTTTTTGATCCATTTTTGTTTCACCTGGCTCCCGTTCCCTTGTCTGACCTTTTCTTGCATGCACGTGTTGCATAAATCTTGGCATTATTTTATACATCTCCGGCAGTCAGAGTGGGGGCACACGCTTAAGACGCGACCCGGAAGGAGAGAGCGCGTCACGAACCTCCCGCCTCCCAATTTTGATAAAGGGCCTCTATTATTCCAGGCCGAGACAATTAAACCACACCAGGCCAACCAGCACTCCACCCCAGCAAATCCTTCCATCTTCAACACCACCTTGTCCTTGTTGTTGCATTTCTACACCTACAACATCGTTGGTTGGATCGATCCGCACGGCGTGTTTAACTTCATTCTCAGATTCTGTCATACTCGAAAAGCCTTGCATGCTCTCATCTCGAGGCCACCGCAGCGATGGCGTCGCCGATGCCAAATCAGCCATATGGCTCCTGGAACGCCAATAATCAACCGATGCCCCCCCAGCCAGAGCAAGATGGCTCCGGTCTCCAGGTCAAGCCCATGAGCCGTATGTCTGATCTTCCGTGCGAGATTGAATTGGATTGAGCTAATCAGCGGGTGCAGTCAAGGTCCATTACACCTTCGACAAGGACAGCAAGATAAATTGTCTCGCGAGATACCCCCACACACTCAACATCCAGACCGCACCGATCGACGAGAGGAGCTCCATTGGCATCATCGACCTGCGCCTGTGCATTCAAACCATTACCGAGTGCAGCCCTGAGCTTCTCGGGCAAGAGTGCGACTATACCGTCTACGCAATCGACTATTCAGAACCCGATACCCCCTTGGCTGGCCAGGGCATGCTATCACGAGCCATCGATTCATTGCGGGGCAACATGGGAGGTCAACCACCCAAGATGGTCACTGGGCGAGTAGCGAAGAATATGCTAGGCGTGTTTGGAAGCGGAACCCGTGAAACCTTGGAGGTCAAGCTGAAGCTTACAGAGGCTGGAAAGCGACCGCCACCCCAAGAGGCACATCAGCAGCCACCCCAACAGCTACCTCAACAACCACCTGAACAAGTAATTCAACAGCTACTTCAGCAGGCGGAATCGCAACAGCAACAACCGTCACAGCCACAGCCACAGCCAGGGCCACCCGAAACAGCCCTTACTCCCACAGGAGCTGCCGAATGGAACTCATTCATCCAATCCAACCCTCACATGGGTCAATCAGGAACCTTCTCCAGAGGTGCCTCACCAGCTTTATCTCTAGGGCCTGCACCAGTCGTGCATGAACGACGAGACTCGTTCGCCCGGAACTCACAGCCACCGGTGTTACAACCCGGCTTTCAGAGAATTGCTCCCCAACCCGTCGACGGGGCAACAGCCGCTGTGAATATCCCCACAGCCCCAACATCTCGACCTTCTAGTAGAGCCTCGAACTCGGGCCGAGTGAAGAAGCAACCCACAGGTCGCCCTCGAGGCAGACCAAGGAAGAAGCCGGCAGAGGGGAATACGTCGGGCTACGAGGATGGGACTGAGGGCGAGGATGGCCCAACCAAGAAGCGAGCGAAGACGACCAAGGTAGAGAAGTCTCAACTGGACCCGTTCGGGGCTGGACCTGAGTCCCTGCGGGTAGCGGCAAGTACTTCGGGGTCTATTCGAAGCTTTCGCCCCGTTGGCATTAACAGTGAGGGAGTACCAGGTAGCCACCTCCAAGAAGTCCCCAGAGCGCCCACGCCTGTCCCCAAAGGCCCCATCTCCGGCCATCATGGCCGAAAACAAACCAGCCTCAGGCGCGAGTCAACAATGAATCGTGAGATTTTTGCGACTCAGCCATCGCCCCTGGAGGAAAGACAAAGCGTTGTCTCTTTAGGTCAGGAAGATGAGCGCTCCCCGGAATCCACAGCGCCTACTCCAGCATACTCCGACGACAGCCAAGCTGATATTGGCTCCTCCCCGCCCGTTGAACCAACCGCTTCTTTTCTTCGTTCCAGTCCCCCTCTATCCAGCCCAGATTTACCGCCTATGCCAGAACCGCGTGATGCTGATGGCGAAAAGCTTCCTAACGAGGAAGATCTTACGGATTTGTTTGGAGAGGATCCTATTCAAGCCCCTCTAGTTGAGAGGGCACCAGCACATCCGCAAAATCGCAAGACTGGGCCCCGTAATAAGCCCACCTCGACAGCACCAATACAGGTCTTTCGAATGGAAGCCGGTCCCGAGGGGCAAGACATGGTCCACATCAGAAGCTACAATACCCCAGAGATAAGTCCTGCGGTTTCTGGTGCATCCAATGTGTCAAATACTACTACAACCAAGAAGCGCGCCGCAAAGTCACGGTCACAGCCAGCTCAAAAGAAGCCACAAATGCCATCCCCCCCCGGGCTCGCACCTACCCCTCCTCCTACTACTGATGGCGTTGAGAAACCGGTCAGCCCCATGCCAACCACCTCAGTGGTTGAGAAACTTGCCTTGGTCGATCCAAATCCTTCAGTTTCTGCCTCTGTTCCTCCTCCTAATCCTGGGCCCCTCACAACCTTTCATCAACCTCCTGCAGAAATTGATGACGCATTATCAAACATCGTGTCCCCCCAGGAACAAAATCTAGAAAAACAACCAGAGGATATACTTGAGGCTCCCAAGGAGCCTATCCGACCCAAACCCAAAGAGACGAAGGCAAGGCCTCCGCCTCGTAAATTAGCTCGATCCCAATCAGCCGGTCCTTTAGCCCTCGCACTTCCCGCAGTCCCTGCCAGCGAACCTGCTGGCCCCTCGTCGCTCTCTCAGTCGATGACGGCAGAACACGAACCTGCCACAAAGAACAGGCCCTCGAACCTCCGACGATCAACTTCCAGCGGCCCCCTAGCTCTTCCTATACCCGCAAGTGATCCTGTCAGGCCCTCACATGTGTCGGCTCACCAATCAGCATCATTAATCTTTCCTGAGCCATGCCGCCTTGCAGATCTTCCTCCTCTTCCTTCCTCGCCTACTGGTAGCAAATCTAACAAGAATATTGTGAAGAAGCACGCCATAAAGCAAAGACTCGAGGCCGCCATCATGAACGGTGAAATGCCTCCTTTTTGCAGTAACTGTGGTGCAATCGAGACTCCCACGTGGCGAAAGATTTGGGTCCAGGATTTTGATGGCGCGCCTGGCAACATTGACTTCTCTTCAAAGCCTGGGAAAGTCACTGCATTAGAAATTTTGGGTCGCGACAACGATGACAAGCCCACATCTTATCGGCTTATCAAGAAAAGCCTTGGCGACGAGGAGGACAAACCTGAGTGGCAAGGACATCTTCTTTGCAACCCTTGTGGCATTTGGCTAGTTAAATCACATTCCCACAGACCGCAAGACCGATGGGATAAGGATGCTTCACGTCTTGGGCAACGACGAAAGCGAGCGAATGGGACTGAGGGGGGAAGGTCCCGTACCAAAAAATCACGAACGAAGAGCGATGCCAGGCCAAACCAGCCATCCCAGGCTCCTGAGGCAGATCTCGCCATGTCTCAAGACATCCCCACCGAGGCTCAGCCAACTCCTCAGGAGGATGATCCGACCCCAAGACCGCCAGATGAGGATGGAATCTTGGATTACCAACCTCCTTGGCATCAGAATCAAAGCTTTGATGAAGCGGAGATGATCAATGAAATGCAGCAGTATCTTGGCTCGACGCACTCAAGAGGCAGTGAGGGGTCCAAGACCCCAACAAAGCATAATAATACAGATGATGAATTGGGAAACACCAAACGGTTGCTCTTTCCATCCCCGCGAAAAGATGATTCTCCCAAGGTTCTTGGTGAGGTAGACATCAATATTGTTCATATCCACGATGAATCTCGCCAACTGAAGGGGCTTGAGGGCGAGGAGAACAACCCTGTTGTCGGAGAAGAGACTAACATGGAGCAAGAAGAGCTGGAGGCTTTATTCAAAAGCCCTGCTGTGGCTCGGCCATCAACGCCACCACCCAACGCCAAGGCAGCACCTCCTTCGACTCCTTTCAAGACGCCATCCCGGGCAACACCCAGCCATAGACCAATTACTAGAAGTGTCTCACGGTCGATTCGCTCAATGCGGTCCAAGACGTCGCCAGGCGATGTCG